AAGCCACGCTGTCCGCCTCCGCGACGTGGGGGCCCCACAGCTCGGCGAGCACGGTCGCGCCGTCGAAGCTCGGCCGCTTGCCGCCCTGCGGGGGAGGGGGGCGGCGAGGAGGGGGAAAACGTGGGGGAGGGAAGAGGATGCGCGCCTTCTTGGGCGCCATGGGGCGCACCCGCGAGCCCGCCGCGGCGCCGCGCCGCACCCTGGCCCCCGCGGGGCTCTCGAGGGTTCGCGGCTGCCCCGCGGCGGCGGAGCGGAAGAGGGGTCGAAGGAGGAGGAGGAGGAAAGGGGCGAGGAAACGCAGGAGACAAATTGAAGACAAGAAGAGGAGGACCGAGAAGAGGAGGACCGAGGAGGAGGAGAAGAGGAAGAGGAAGAGGAACAGGGGGAGCGAGGAGGAGGGATCGAGGAGGAGGAGGAGGAGGAGGAGGAGGAGGAGAGGAGGGAGAGGAGGAGGAGGAGGAGGATAGAAGTATATTATGTTTTTGGGCTTGGTACAGCGGCATCTAACAGCTAGAATAGCTGACATACGCACTGTATACCTATATGTATGGTTGTATTACTATATATATAGTTGTACAACAATATGTATAGTTGTACAACTATATATATAGTTGTTCAACAACCACAACTATATTATAGTTGTGCGCAACCTCAGGGTACTAGAACGTGAGCCTGCCCGCTGGCCTAGAACCCCAGCCTTACCAGAACGAACGAGCAAAACTGTCAAACTGACTGACGCCTCGCTCCAATCGTACGTCCATCGGGCTACCAGAAGGAATGCCAAATCCGTCCTGGAGCGTGTTGGAGTCCTCGTCGGCCGTCTTGAGGGCATCTTGGGTGTCTTCGGGGCTTCTTGGGACCGTCTAGGGCCCTCTCGGGACCTCCATTAGCCTGTCGTGGCCTGCTTCGGGGCGGGCCCGGGCCGCCTCGGGACCCCTCTGGGCCTTCTCTTGGCGCGCTCTTGGGGCACACTTGGGTTGTCTGGGGAGCATCCTGCGCCGTCTTGGGGCCCTCGTCGGGGCCTCGTGGGCCTTCTTGGAGCGATCTGAAGGGCCTCCGAGGCTGTGAGGGAGCGCTGGAAAGCGGGAAAAGCGAGAACGCCGAAATCCAAAACACTTGGAAAACGGTGGGCACCGAGGGGGGGAACAGGCAGCGGCCCGCCCGCCCCCCCCGGGCCTACTCCGAGATAGAGAATCATGTTCCCGGGAAGCTTTCCGGGAACATGATTTGTTCGGCTCTCTAAGAGAGGGGCCTCTGGGGGCTTACCGAGGGGCGCCTTTTGGCCTTGCCGGCAAGCCTATTGGAAACATTGTTGGGGCGGTGGGCGGAAGCCCAACGAATCATGGTCCCAGAAAGCAATCTGGGAAGTACGATTTACCGAAGTGTCTTGGGGGCCCGCAGGGGGCTTCCCTGCAGTGGGGGCCCCTTTGGGGGCCTAATGGGGCTTCCGGGGAGCCTCTTGGGAGCCTCACGGGGCTTCTTGGGAGCCTCTTGATGGCCTCCGGGGGCGTCCTAGGAGCCTATCAGGCCGGAGACCTCGAAATCTTGACATGTCGCGCTCTTCGGGCCCTCTTGGGTCGCTCTTGGGGCTCTCTTGGGGCGCTCTCGAGGCCCTCTTGACTTATCTGGGGAGCCTCCTGGGCCGTCTCTGGGCTTTCTTGGGAGCCTCTTCGGCCGTCTTGGAGCGATCTGAAGGGCCTCTGACGCGGTCGGGGACCGTGGGGAGGCGGAACATGGGAGAGCGCAAGAATGCTTCAGAAACCATTGGAAAATGCATGATCTTCGGCTTCTGGGGCCCTTTGGAGGGGCCTCTGGAGGCGCTCTTGGGGCGTTTTGGCGGCTTCGTCGGCCGCCCTGAGGCCATTTTCGGCGTGTCCAGGGCCTCTGGGGGCGGTCGTCCTGGGAACCCGGGAATCATGTTCCCGGAGAGGCTTCCGGGAACATGATTTCGAACGAGGCCCGCTTGGGCCTCCTGGAGGCCGTCGTGGGGGCCTCCTGAGCCTTCAGAGGCCCCTCCAAAAGGCCCCCCCACAAAACGACCCTTTTGGGCCGTCTTGGGAAGTTCCGTGAGCCCCACAAAACGACCCTCCACAAAACGACCCTTTTGGGCCGTCTTTGGCCTCCTGGGTCTCTCTTGGGCTGTCTTGGGGCTCCTCAAACGCCTCTGGGGCACTGCGAAGACGAAGAAAGGGAGTATGCTGAAAATGTACGTTTTTACCACGGGAACGGGCTGATTTTTGTTTGCCTCTTGAAGGCGCTCTTCTTCGGCCATCTTCAAAGCCATCTCGGGCCCTCTTGGGCCTCGCTGAGGCTGTCCTGGGGCCCTCTAGGGGGCCCCGGGAACCCGGAAATAATGTTCCCGGAGAGGCTTCCGGGAACATGATTTCGAACGAGGCCCTCTTGGGCCTCCCGGGCCTCCTGGGCCGGCTTCGGGGCCTCTTGGGCCGTCTCGGGGGGTTCCGTGAGCTCCACACCGACCCTTTCGGGCCGTCTGGGGCCCTCTGGGATCTCTCTTGGGCTGTGTTGGAGCTCCTCAAACGCGTCTGGGGCACTGTGAAGGCGAAGCCAGCGAGTATGCTGAAAATGTATCTTTTACTACGGGAACGGGCCGATTTTTGCCTCTTGAAGGCCCTCTCGGGGCCCTCTTCGGCCATCTTCAAGCCATCTCGGGCCCTCGTGGGCCTCTCTGATGCTGTCTTGTGGGCCTCTTGGGCGTCCTCGGAACCCGGAAGTCATGTTCCCGGAGAGGCTTCCGGGAACATGATTTCGAACGAGGCCCTCTTGGCCTCCCTGAGGCCGTCTTTGGGGCCATGGGTTGGCTTCGGGGCCTCTTGGGCCGTCTTGGGGGGTTCCGTGAGCCCCACGAAACGACCCCTTTGGGCCGTCTGGGGCTCTCTTGGGCTGTGTTGGGGCTCCGCGGGGGCGCCTGGGGCACTGTGAAGACCAAGCCAGCGAGCATGCCGAAAATGTACGTTTTACGAAGGGAATTGGCCGATTTGTGCCTCTTGAAGGCCCTCTTGGGGCCCTCGTCGGCCGTTCAAGCCATCGCGGGCCCTCTTGGGGCGCTCTCGGGCGTCTTCTAGGCCTCCTGAAGCTTTTTTAATCATCTGTACGGCCCGCGTGGCCTGTCTTTGGCAATTTGGGAGCGGCCTGGGGCAGTCCCGGGGGGTCTGTGACCCCCCAAAGGTTCGCGGGGGCGGCCATGGGGGATGACGGCACCGATGTTGCCCCCCCCCCCCCCCCCCCCCCCTGGCCTACTCATATGTATTTATTGTGTTATATATTATATATATATATATATATATATATATATATATACATATATATATATATTAATATATATATAATATATATATATGGCCACCACACGGCGCGCCTCGGCCATCAACAGGTTCCCCGACGCAGACCTCACGAACGGCCCCGGAAACCAGAGCGCCTCCGGAGCCCAGGAGGGCTCTCCCTGCAGCGCCTTGGTGGCTGTCAGCGGGCGGGTGCGGCGGGTTCACGGCGCGAGGACGTCGGCGTTGGTGTCTGACACCGCGCGGATCGTTCCACCTCGAACGATCGCGGACTCCCAACGGCACGGGGAGCTCGAGCCCAGGCCGCCGGCCGCCCGCGCGTTTGGGCCGCCGCCGCGCCGACGCGGCGAGAACCTGCACGGCGGGCAGGAGGGCGAGACGAGGCAGGAGGGACGTGCAGAGCCTGGCAGAGGGGGGGCGATACGGGGAGGGCCTCCTCCTCCTCCTCCTCCTCCGAAGAGAGAAGTGCACCTTTTGTGCCCCGAAGTGGCCCCAAAGGGGCCACGGAGGGGCCCCAAAGGTGCACCTCTCCCACCCCCAGGCAGGAGGGGCGGCGTGCACAGCCTGGCAAGGGCCAGGGGGGTGGACGGAGGCCCCCCTTTGGCAGGACACTCTTCTGGGTCGCGGCGGTGGCGACCGCGCAACGCGTCCGTGGCCTGAGCGTTTGTCGCAGCGGTGCGGATCCACGCCGTGGTCGGAGGCAGCTGAGGGGCCCTTCAAGCAGCACGCGAATTAGTTAAGGACGATCCATGGCCAGACCTGGCGAGCGCAGGCACGCAGACACTGTGGCGGCAACACCCTCTCGAGAGTCGAGAAAATAAAGTTCGCTGATCGCTCTGGCAGGGACGGGAATTCGAATCATCAGCCCCCGAAGAGGGGGACAGTGGGACGGGCATGATGTCCCGAGGACGTGTGCCGACGCTGACGTGCGCCTGCCCCCAAAGGCCCTTCGGCGTGCGGAGCAGGCTGCCGCGAGGGCCGCCACGGGCTCCGCCGTTATCGGCATGGGCGGCGCGCTCGGGGATCCTCGGGACAGCGGGGCGGGCGGCAGCGGGCGTCAGCGGGGCGGCAACAAGCCAGAACGTGGCGGATCCTCGGGACACCCATCCAAGTCCTTCGGAACCCTAAGCGCAGGCACTGCTTGGAGAATTCCCAGGTGCCGATGGGCAGAGCTGGACGCGGCCGGGGTGTCTGAACTGGTTGGGGCCACAGAAAATCTGCCAGGAGGAGGAATAAAGCCAAATCCGCTTAAAATCAATCCCCCGACCCCTTCTCGAGCAATCTGGTGCAGTTGTTCACCTCGCATTCCTTTTGGACTGTCCCAGCGCCCGAAGTGGGCTCCCAGGGGTGGAAAAAGGCCCCAAACCGATCCCGAACCCAGAACCTCTAACCTGCCCCCCCCCCCCTTCCTGCTGGCCGGAACCAGTGCTGGGCCACCTTAGATCGGCGGCGAGCAAGGGGGGGAGGTGAGAAGGGGCGGGCCATCTCAGAAGGCTCGGAAGTTCCCCGGTCTTCTGAAAAGTTTTCTAAGTCTTCCCCGAAGACGCAGAAAACCCCTCAGAAGGCCAGAGGCCTTCTGAGAAGGCTCGCCGCCTTCTGAGAAGGCCTTCTCCTCCTCCTTTCCCCCCCCCCCCCCCCTGCCTCGCCGCCGATGAGAGCCCCGGGCCGGCTCCGGGGGCAGAGGCTCGGCGCGGCGAGCACCCGTCCTGCAGGGCCTTCTCGGCCGCGGCGTGCTCCCGCGCCTGCCTCGCCGCGTCCTGCCGGGGCAATGGCAGCGCGCACGGCGCCGCTCGCGGCGCAGGTCTCGCGCGGCGAAGGCCTCGGGGGGGCCCTGAGATCCTGGCGCCTCAATTTTTCCGAGCCGGGCGTTTTCGCGCAGATTCGGGCCCCCGGACCCTCACAGACCGGTCCGGCTCGAAGAATGGCACAGCAAAATGGGGTCTGTAGGGCTCCAGCCGTGATTTGTCATGATGTCTCGATCTTCTTGAAACGTCGGATTTCAAAAGGCGGGCGGGGGGGGGGCGCTCGTGGGCCTCGGCGCTGGCCCCCCCCCTCGTGAGGACGGGGAGCAAGAGGGCCGCACCTCAAGGACATCGGTGGGGAACTTTTGCTCGGCGTGTCGGCAGCCCCGACGACACGCTATGCCCTGCGAGCGGATAGCCTGTCGCTCCGCTCCGCGGGGCGGGAGGCTCGGGAAACCTCAGGAAATTGACGCTTGGGAGTGTTGAAACTGGATAGCATGCCGCGGCGACGCATGGTGGGCCAGAACTGGCGGAGCGACACGCTGTGCCAAAGCTCCCGCCTGTCAGTCTGTGGGTCGACGTTCGATCCCCCGGGCCCAGACCTCCTCCTCGAGCCGCGAACAAAAACAGGACGGGAGGCGTTTGGCAACCTTCGACCTCTGGGGTCCCTTGCCGGGGGCTGTCAGGGATCGGCTCGGAACAGGAAAGCGGCCCCGGGTAGAGGGCCGAGACCTCCAGTCACGAAACAGGGCATCGACGTCGGGGGGGTCTGGGCAGCTGCCCCTGCTCTGCGGGTGCCCGCCTCTCTCTCTCGACCCTGCCACCGCTGCGTGGAGCGCGGAGGCGACAGCCCGCCACAGGCCCGCCGTCCACAGGCGAGCTCGTGTAGTGAGCAGTGGCCTCGTAGACACGGCGGCGACAACCGCAAGTGAGACACAGATCTGTACCCACGGCCTGGCGGGCCGGGCCCCTGGGCAGTGACCCCGTGGACATGGAGCGCTCTTTCGTGGATGCCCCGCGTGGAACGCATCAATGCGACCGCACATCTGCCCGAACGCGTCCAGGAATCCAGACCGCGAGTGCGTGAATATAGATACGATCGCCGTCCCTGATACAAGGCGGGCCCGCGGGCAAGGCGCGCTGCCTGTGGATGCCGGCATCTCGATGTCGCGGTCGCTGACCTGCCGACTCGATGAGCCTCACGCCTGGCTCGGAGACAACAGCACGAGACGCAGGAACAAGGAAAGGAGACACCACCACCACCACCACCACCACCATCGCGAGGAGCCAGGGAGAGTCATCCTTGTGGCGTTGCCCCGCCTTTCGCTCGAGGCAGGGGAAGACAACACCACCACGACCTCCGCCAGGGGCCGGGGAGGCCCTCCTGGTGGCGTGGCCCTCCTCCTTGGCTCGAGGCACCTCTGCCCTCCACCTCCAGAAGGTCGCATCGAATAGCCGATTTACATCGCCGATGCATCGCCGATCCATCGGCGACGACGACGAGACATCGGCGCCTTCGGCGTAGAGACGCTCTCTGACTGAACATGAAACCGCATCGTCGATGCATCGTCGATGCGACGCGATCCTTCGGCCCCACCTGCTCGGACCCCACCTGGGAGGCCCAGATGGCCGCAGGCGGCCGGGCGGTGCTGTCGCACTGCCCCCCCTGGCGAGCCACGAGGCGGGGCAGCACCCGCCGCTCGTCGAGCCGCCCCCTGCTGCGGCCACCGAGGGAGGCGGCGGCGCGGCGGCCCCGTGAGGAGCTGGGCCTGCGCCCGCCCCGCGTGGCCTTCTGGACCTGACCGGGGACGGAATGCTCGCCATGGCGAGGGGGGGCGCAGCCGCTGGCCAGCCCCGTGCCCCATGGCTCCCCGCTCCACCGATCTGCCTCTTCGAGCGCGCGTCTCACCCCGCCCCCACGCGGATCGAGGGCGTCCTCAGAACGGGGCGCCCAAGGGGGGGGGGGGCGCAGATCAGGGCCCGAGGCGCGGGCGCGGCCCCAAGGAGTGGCCAGGGTGCGCAAGGGAATGAGGAGAGGGGCCATGGAGTCTGGGGAGGTACCATGGCCCCAGCCATGATATCCCCCCCCCTCTAGTCAGCACCCCCGTCTTGGCCGCTCCCGGCGGAAGCCCACGGCAACGTCCTCTCGTTCTTGCTCCATCTTCGCTTCCGTCCTGAGCGCGGTGCACGGGGAGTAGGCAACCACACGTGAGCCTTACACCCGCAAATCAGATTCATGGGTCAGAACTTGAAAGATGTCAGCAGCCACAGCGTCGACAGAATCCGTATGGGCATACAGGGTTCGCGAGGGGTCGCAGAGGGAGGAGCAAAAGAAGGAAAATGTGGAGGAAAAGTGAGGGGAGAGGAATGGGGGAGGAGGAGGGGCAACGTGGCGACCAGGACGGAAATCCAGAAGAGCCGTCAGGAAGTCCAGAAAGGCGTGGAGGGGCAACTGTCGCCCAAAAAAGGGCGTCGGGGAACCTGATCCAACTCCTGCTGATCCTCCTTCTTCTCCTCCTCCCCACCTTCATCCTCCTCCTCCTCCCCCCTCCTCCTCCTCCTCTCCTCCTCCTCCTTCTTCTCCTCCTCCCCCCCTCCTCCCCATTATCATCCTTCCCTCTCCTGCTGATCTCCTCCTCCCGAAGCTTCTCCTCCTCTCCCCCCTTTTCCTCATACCCCCATGCTTTCATTTCGGAGCCTTAGAAGAAGGCAGTCCGAAAGTCTTCTCTAGCAGAAGGGCAAGGGCAAGGCAGAGGAGGACGGGAGGGGGAGGATTAGACACATAATATTGATACATGTGAGGGATAAAGAGAGACAGAGAGAGAGAGAGACAGACAGACAGACAGACAGAAAGAGAGAGAGAGAGACACAGAAAGAGAGTGAGAGAGAGAGCGAAACACACAAAGACAGAAAGAGAGATAGAGAGAGGGAGAGGGAGCGGGAGGGAGAGAGGATGGGAGGGGGAGGAGGGACGAGGCTGTAGAAGTGGAGGATAAGTGGAGCGGAGGAGGAGATATGGAGGGAGGAAGAAGGGGAGATGGGGAGGGGGGAGAAGCGGTGGCGGATGACGAAGAAAATGGCCCGCATGAAACGGAGAAGAAAGACGCCAGAAACCCGGCTGACTTCTCCATGAAATTGTGCCCAATCTACAACTGAACGTCGCTCGCTCGTCCAAGCATTGAGCAACTTCCGCAAAACGGGAATTCCTCAATGTCGACGTAAATTGCCTCTTTCCTCAACTCGCCATATGGTATGACAAGTCGGGGAAGAGGTAATTGATGTCGCGTGCAGTGGGGAAGGGGCATCGTGAGAGGGTGACCTTCTCAGAAGTCGGGGGGCTTCTTACGGGGCAGTTGCAATTTCAGTAGGCCCGGATGTTTCCAGGAGAGCGTCTCAGAAGCAGAGGGGGCTTGCAAGAATCGGGGGCGCGCAACCATGGATTATAGCGATCCATGGGCTCCACAATGCGGCCGGTGCCGCCTCGCTTGGCGGCGGGACTCCGCGACCTCCCATGGAAGCGGGACGCCCGTCGCGAATCCGCGCCCCCGTGGGCCCACGCCTGCGATCGCCTGCAAGAGGACCCCGCTGCTCCTTCTGAGAGCACCCCCCGCCGGATCCGCAGGCCGCCCCTCGTGCGCGCCTCTCCCCTCGTGCGCGCCGCTCGGCCCCCCGGGGGTGCCTCTCTTTCTCGGCTCGGGCGCCAGCGGCGTGCGCGCAGCGGGCGAACCTGAGAGACGCACGGCGAGCCCGGGCGTGCGTCCTCCCCACGAGGAGGGCGCCCGCGCTCGCGGCCGAGTGCCTCGGCGGGCTGCCAGGCAGGCAACAAAAACGCCGATCGGCGGCGGCGTTGCCAAGAGGCGCCCGCTGCACGCCGACATCCATCTCGGAAGGGGAATCAGAGGCGGGGACCGCGGGGAGGAACCATCAACTCGGGATCGTCAATACGTCGTCGATAGATCGGCGACAGGACCTCGATGGACAATTCGCACGTTCCTGGGCGGGGCGGGCTATCGGGCCCCTATCGGCGACGAATGGGCGATTAGGGGTCGATGCGTACCCCCCCGAGCCTATCCCCCTTGCTGCCAAATTCCCGACTGCATCAAACAAATGTTTGGGGACGGTGCCGACTCAAAATTGCCTGGATGCGAACTACTGGAACCAGTGATCTTCATTTTGGAGACGACGCCTCTTGGTGAACTACTAAATGGCCTCGGTGCGCTGTCGAGATTTGGCAAGGGGCTGGCACACTGACCGCTCGCCAGCGAAGACCTATCTCGCATTGTTTGGATGTGAAGTGGCATCGTAAACTTTTGCCCCCACGGACCAAACTACGCAAAATATAACAACTACAGTACTGCCCCTGATATGCGCGCCGCTGAGGTCCCAGGGTGCCTTCTTTTGGCTCGAACCCACCTGCGCGCGCGTCGCAGCCGCACCCGCCCCAGAGCCGCGCGGCCAGACCACGCGCGTTTTCCCAGAGGGCACCAGCGAGCTCGCTGCCGAATGCCTCGGCGGCTTGCCGAGCAGGCGGAGAACATCGATCGGTGGTGATGTTTGTTTGTTCATTCTTTCCTTTTGGGGGGAGCGAAGAACGTGAGAGACCGCAAGCATCCGACAATCGACCTGGCGTCAGAGTGAAACGCGGAGGACCCATCTGATAATAGGTGTCTCGACTATCCCCGGAGCGCACGCATTTGCACGTGCATCGACCTCGGCGTGTAGAGCGCCAAGTGTCAGGCAAAATGCCGTTTATCCGGACCGGCGGTGATGTTGCAAGAAGGCGTCCGGAAAACCTGCGCTCACCCTCTTCTTCTTCTTCTTCTTCTTCTTCTTCTTTGGCCAGCCGCGCGAGCCGCTCCGCACGCAGCGTCGGTGGGGCGGCGGCGGCCGCCGCACCAAGCAGGACGGCAGGCCCAGAACGAGGCGAGGACCGAGCAGAGCGCGGCAGAAGACGGACAGCGGAGTGCGCCAGGACATGACAGCACTGTGTGCCTCTCTTGGAGACGCACCTCCGAGCCGAAAATCGAACACAGAATCCGCCGGCCCCCTTGTGGGGCCACCAGGCTGTAGGACGAGGTTGCTGCTCCCGGCGCCAGTTGCAGTTTCAAGTCTCCAAAATTACAGTCCTGCTTTTTGCTTCCGATTGTAAATTGTTGGAATCCGCGCGAGGGGGGGGAGCCCCAAACCGGCAACTTACCACGCCCGAGTCGCGTTGCCTGAATTCCCGGGGCGCTGTGGGACTCGTAAACATACATGAGATTCGCACCCCCGAGACCATAATCCTTCGTAAATTACGCAATGTTCGCGTCCCCGAGGCAACAAACCTTTATAAATTATTCGGTATTCGCGTCCCCGAAGCCATAATCCTTAGTAACATATGCAATAATCACGTCCCGGAGGCCACAAACCCTAGCAAATTACAAAACCGAGGCGACAAACCATCGTAAATTACACAACTTTCGCGTTCCTGAGGCCATAAACCCTTGCAAAATAAGCCGTATTCGCATTGCCGAAGCCAAGAATGCTCCAAGGCGCCCGAAGATGATTCCAAGACAACTCAAGAGGGTCCCTGAGAGGCCCCAAGAGCGCTCCAAGAGGCCTCCCGAGAGAGCCCCGGGAGGCCCAAATCGTCGATGTTATACAAGTTTTTGAAGGATGATGGCCTTCTCGCATTTCTGGCTTTCTGGCGCTCCAAGACGGCACAAGAAGCTCCCAAGACCGCCCCAAAAGAGCCCAAGACGCCTCCAAGATGGCCCCAAGACGGCCCAAGAGGTCCAAGATGGCTCAAGAAGCGCTCCGAGAAGCCACGAGAAGCCCCCAGGAGGCCGCAAGAGGCCCCAAGAGGCCCCAAGAGGCCCCAAGAGGCGGCCAAGACGCGCCCAAGAGGCCTCCAAGAGGCCCCAAAGATACCCCACGAGGCCCCGAGAGGTCCCCAAGAGGCGCCCAAATCTCCTCCAAGAGGCCCCCGAGAGGCTCCCCACGACACCCCAACACATATACAAGAGGCCTCAGACCCACAACCCAGGCACGGTGGCGGGATGGGCCGAAGGCATCTAGGACAACGCGAACGTCTCAATATGCGCTGAAGATTCCTACCCGCCCCCGCATGATGTTCCCAGATGAGCCAAGACAGCGCCGGGACGCACCGACGCGACTCTGATATATCCCATTCTTATAAAGAAGGGGCTGGCGGCAGGGGGCGAAGCCCACACGAATATTGTAGCATATCGTTTTCCGAGCGGCAAGGCCAGAAGCGCCCGCCACGGAACTGATGCTGCAAGATGTTCGAGCATGCGGGTCGCCCTTGCGTGGCCGACGCACGCATAGCATAAATACGTCTGGATGGTGCCGAGACGACTCCAAAGAAACTGGGCAACGCGAAGCGTGGCCAATCTCGTGCAATGGCTTTGACGTCCGAAACGGGCTCGGGAAAATGGGCACGATGCCCAAAAGCACATGTTGCCCAAAACCTACAGCGGCCGCTGTTGGGCAGGTGGCCTTCTGCCTCCAAGGGACAACGTGCGCGGCGACACCGACAGCGAGTCCTGTCCCAAAGGAGCAGGCAATGCTGTCGGGCTTCGTGACCCATTCTGTCCGCCCCCCGCTCCGATCGCCCCGGAATGAGGAGGCGCCCAGTGCAGGAGGCCGGGCAACGCAACCTCGCAGGGCGCTCGTGCCCTCGGGGAGCAGAGCCCCGGGCGCGCGCCGCGCAGAGGCGGGGCGGCCTCCTCCCGCCGCTCCGGAGGCCCACGGGGGTGCTCCCAGGGGTCTGCCGGCGCCGCAGCTGCCAGGCGGAGTGAGGAAGGCGGGAGGAGCACTGGAGCCAGAACTGCTGCGGTGCTGAAGCCCCGATGCGCAACACGCAACCCGTAGCGTGTTGACACGGAGCTCAACAAGCAGACTGAAAACGTACGTTTGGCGCGACATGCTCGCCAAAGCGTGGGCCAAAGCGTGCCGAGCCGACGCGTAACGTCTTCACACGGACGTTTGGACACTGTGCCGGTAGCGTTTCAAAGCGGACGTACTAGGGCAACAAAATTACGGTGTCTGCATTGAACAAGGAGCCATTGGATAAGGAGCGCAGGGCCTGGAAGCCAGTCGAACGCCAATCGTGGAGTGGCCGTGGATCTCACCGCCGCCCTCATCAGAGAAGGAACCCTCCAGGGTTTGAAGCCTCCTGGGAACATTCCTTAACGAACGCCCCCACAGTAGAGAAAGAATAAGTGTTATACTTCGAGCGACCCCCACCCACTGGTATGTGGCGGCCCACAAAGGGATCCCCGCGGGATCCCGGTGGTTCTGGGGATCTGGCGGCCACTGCATGTGGCGGCCCAGAAAGGGATACCCGCGGGATCCCTGGTGGTCCTGGGGATGTGGCGGCCGCGGTGTTCAGGGTGGGCGGGTCGGAGGTATGTTCTTCAGATCCAACAGCCCCAACCTATCAAGCGAAAACAAGCCAAACTCAGAAGACTTTCTGAAGTCCGCGCGGATGTTTTTGGTATCGGCGCTGGACCCCCTCCCTGGCGCACGGAGCGCGCCAGGGGTGGCGCCGGAGTCGCCAGGGGGGCACAGCGCCAATCCAAGACATCTACGCGGACCTTCCCACAGTTTCGGTTTACGCCCATTTCTCTTCTCTTCGGAGCAAGCAGCCGACAAAAACCTTGAAGGCGAGAAACCAGGACCAGTGGGACAAGGCAGCCGGGCGGGCGGGAGAAGACATGGGGGGAGCCAGCAGGCAGGGAGCAGAGGCGAGCCAGGGCGAGGGAGGAGGATCGGGGCGAGGAGGGGAGAAGGGAAAGCAACTGCAAGCACACAGGCTGAGCCAGGGCCCGGGAGAGAGGGGCCGCCCGCGACAAGGATAGGCCACTACGCCAGCGACGCCGACCAGGCGGCAGCACAGGCGGAATGCTGGAGCAGGTGGTCGTTGGAGTTGCTGAGGAAGTGGTCGTCGGGGTCGTCGGGGTGGCTAGGGTCAGCGGGGCTGTCAGAGTCGTCGGATGGGAAAATGTGGTCGTCCAGGATGGACACCGGCGAGCAGTCACGTCGTTGCGGCTTGGTCGGCGTGCCCTCTCGATTAATGCATCGGCGCAGCGTCCGTTGCAAGCTGGACGCAGCGCCAGACGCGAGCCAGCACACGGAAGGGGGGCAGCAGCACTGGCCAATTGTGCCCTCAACGCTGTGCCAAAGGGCCAGTCATGGAGAACATTCGGAGGTTGCCGAAAGCGGCCCTGGCCCATGGTGCTCCGAGCCTGTCGTGTAGTTTTGAAGCCCCAGAAGCACTCTGGGCCTCGTGGGGAGTTCTCTGAAGGCCATCTGGGCCTCCTTGGCAAATCTGGGGCCACCTTGGGCCAGGATCACCTCTGGCAACACCCGAAACATGGCCTTGCAGCTTGAACAACACGACTATGAACTGAGCGGCCCATGCGTGATGCTAACACGCATGGCGATGGCTCTGCACGCTGATGCTCACGATCGTGCATTCGTGCGCATGCCTTTGCATATGCATACATGCATGTGGGCGGCCTTCGATGCTTTCTGTCGAGGTACCCGCGTAAGATCTTTGCAGCGGCCCGCACCTGGTCCATTTCTTCCTCCTGGCAGCAATTTATAGATGCAGCCCAGGCTTCTCTCCTCCTGCTCACCTTACTCGCTCCAGGCGTGGAACGGAAAACACCGTTGGCCAAATGTGAGTAAGGCCCGCTTGCAGGCCGACAGCCTTTGCGAAGATCGTCATCGCATGCGCTTGGAAGCATGCTCCCGAGTGTAACTCGGCTTGGCCTTCTGCACACGGTATGTGAGTCTTCGTGTGCAGCCGCACCACGGTCAGCCTCCGAATGTGAGTCCAAGGATGATGAAAGACCTTCGTGGCCGCCAAGAACAATACATGCCTGAGCGGCCCAAAATCGCCAGAACCACGTTACACTCGGCATCACGCGAATCACAGCAAGCAGCAAAACTGACGCACCACAGCTCCGTAGCCCCCGCAACCGCGGGGGCAGAATAATTACTTGTCGCCGCCAAGAGCCCTCTTCCCCCCTCACAGAGGAATGCTGGGGGGGGGGTCCTCGGGATCAACATTACCTGGCCGCCCGCCACGACCACAGCGCTCAGCAGCCCGCCGTGCGTACAGCCGGGACGCAGGCCCGGCGACGGCTCTCCTCCGGCGCCGGCGCCGGCGTGCAGCCCAGAAGGCGAGCCGACTCTGACGAGGGGCGCACCGTGACCAGGGCTCACCTCCCGCCGCTGTCTGCGTAACGTCGGCGGGTTCGCACTCGCAGCCCCGAGGAGGCATCGCGACCGACGGAAGTCCCATCCTACGCCGTTGCAACAGATCGTGAAACTTCTGAGGGCACGCTTCGACCGCCACTTCCTGGTGAGCGGGCGGGCGGAGGCTGATCCCTGTTCCGACCGCACCGAGTTGGCCCCCTCCTTCCTAGAATCCTAGCGGGCTGAGTCAAGAGCAATCGGATCAAAAAACTTAGATTTCTGACGCTGGGATCTCATCATATGACACACATCTGATTACATGATGAATTTACATATAATCTGATCTAAACAAGTATGTTGGAAACCCGGCGTAACACAAAATGCTTTAGATATCCAATCGGACGGGATGCTGCTCCTGCCAATGCGAGATACTTGCGTTTCACTTCGTCCGGAAACTTTCAGAACGCCGAAAGATGCCAGCACCCACGGCGAAAATACTCGGCCAGAGAGCGTGGTCAACCCTTCAGGCACAGGCAGATCCAACTTGTCCAGGCGACGTCTGCAGTCCTGACGCCGCTGGAGGCCTCTCAAAGAGGGTCCAAGCAGATGGGGTGGGAGAATCGCGCCCAATCGCCAATGCTTCGGTGAAGTCGGCGATGCATCGGCGAGGTCGGCGTGGAGAAAATTTGGGCTCACATCGAGCCCAATCGCCGATGCATCAGCGATGCGGCGCGACCTTCCGACCCCATCTGCTCGAAACTATTTGGGAGGCCGGGACGCCGCGCTCAGACCCGAAAGCGGCCAGGGCCCCGCCAGGGGGTGCATCACCTAGACATGCGATGCCTTGATTGTTCCAATGCGCACTCCCCAGAAGTCGTGACTCTCTCCCCTGGGTTGGTTGATAGCCTTGGAGGACATGTACTAATTCGCGGCGATGGCGGTCATCATGGGTGGGTGGAGGGCATAGCGTGACGCACCCCCTGCCAATGGTGCCAGACGCGCTGCGGCAGTGCCGGGACACACTGGTGGGGGGGGAGCGTTACGTGGTGGGGGGTAGGGGGGGGCGGGGGGGGGAGGGAGCATAACGCGCGTTAAGTATGGCCCGGAGGGTAAGAAACATTCTCTCGGGGACCCGCGAGGGCCCCTGGAAGCCGAGAGCTGCCAACAAAACCTCCCGTCCTGATTTTGTCCACGGCGCGAGCACAGCCGCCGGTCGGAGGAAGAAGTGGATAGAAACATTGGCGTTGGAAGTAGATTGGGCTTCCGCCTGCCCCCTCAAGAGGCAAGAAACAAAAAAACACTCCCGACGATTGAAGTAGCAAGGGGCCTGAGGTAGGTTGGGATGTGGGGGTCAAGAACCACGTGCCTTCAGCGACCGACGGGCACTCTGGGCGAGGGTGGGGCGCAGGCTCGCCGACGCCTCGGCCTGGCGCAGCGAGAGGCCTGCAGAGAGGGCCAGGGGGAGGGCCAGGCCAGTGCCGGCCGGCCAGAGGCCTTTCGGGGGCCGCGCCTGGGCGGATCGGGCCTCGAAGGCCCGCGGGACGGGTCGGGCAGACGCTGACACAAGCATGCTCGCGTCGCGGACAACATCACATCGGACAGATTTTGGCCACGCTCGGCCTCCGATGGACCTCGCCGGGCCGCGGGACCTTCGACAAAACGCCTCGGGATGAAGAACAGGCCCGGGGGAAAAGTCGGGACTTCTGGGGACCGCCGATTGAAACAAAGTCAAGACATCGCATCTCAGGGTACTTGCGAGGTGGGCAACCAAGCGGGTGGCAGTCGGCGCGCGCGAGCGCGGCTCTGAAATGGCCCTGCTAAGACTGCCACCCCGCGTCCAACAGGTTGTGGAAGGTGGCACCCGTCTTCACCCCCCGACGGTTTTGCCCCTGTTGCCGTCCCCCCCGAATGGATCCAACACCTGGGGCCTACATACAAGGGAAGGATCGGATGCCGGAGCTCCCGGGGGCGAGGTCCGAGCAGAGCCTGGACAATCAGCCAGCCCCGAAGGTGTCCAGGTCTGACCCTCAGCACGACGAAGCCCGAGGCCCCGCGGCTTGGACCTCCGAATCGGAACCTGACCGCCTCCGGGCGTGATCTTGGAGCCATCTCAGGCCTGCTCCTGGGGCAAGCCTCTGGTGGAGGGCACACGGGGGGGGGGGGGTAGTGGGCGAACTCGGAGAAATCCGGGTGCCCCTGGTGGTCTTCGGCCCCCCAGGGCCCCTGGGAGCGGGTTTCTGATAAGACAGGTAGGAGCTCTCTATTTCTATATTTCTTTCTCTCTATCTTCCTCTCTCTCTCTCTCTGTCTCTCTCTCTCTCTTTCTCTCTTTCTCCCCCCCTCTCTCTTCGTTTCGCTTCCACGCTGTCGCCCGTTTGGCCTCCTCCTGGCTTGAACTTGCTCGCAGCAGAGGAAGTGCAGACCGACAAAGACAATCTCAGTTAGAGGAACGGTGCCACTTCTATTTCCAACAACTACATGCATTTATAGATTTATCCGTATGAACTGAACGAAACGTGTTCGCACAAGTTTCGGCATGGCCGGCAACCCACTGAGCGGGTTGAAAGACAGCGAACGGCAGTGCGTACGGATTGATATGATGGCAAACATATTGAACTACGCGGCACGGTTCGGCAATTCAGAAAGATACGAGCTACCATTGCAAGTCTCTGATGACGGGGGCCGTCATCCATGTAAATAATAACAACGATGTGATGCATCCGCGCAGGAATGCGTGCTCGTACGTGTTGCACATACGCAAGTGCATGTGGAGTCCGAGGCGCGCGGGCATGCATGTGGGTAATTACCGATGCACGACACTCAAACTTGAACGCATGTGCCTTTGAGGATGTTCATGTGCATGGGTGCGTACGCATGCACTTCCGTAATATGTGCACGTGTGAACGTATGTGGGCGCGCGCGGGTACGTGTGCCCAAAAACACCACATGTATGTGCGCAAGCGTACACGTTCGTATGTACAGTTGCGCATACACGTATACGAGGGCACGCATGGATGATTGCAAGAAACATAAGGATGTGAGAAGGAGAAATACATTGGCACCAGCTCAAATACACTGCAAGAGCGCATCTCCATGTTCCACGCACATCGCCTAGAAAACACAATGACCAAGTAGGATGTGGGACCGGGGCTGGCTTCCTGCGCTTTGACCCACTTGGCGCGCTCGGCGTCTTTCTCCCGCCTTCGCTGGGGGGCGCCCAGGAGCAGCTTCATTTCCCGAGCGCCGTGTGCAAATCGGTCTCGAGATCCCCGCACCGGGCTCACATTCCTGCGGCAGGCTCGTGCAGTGCAGACGCTGGCGTTGGCTTCTGGCACCGCGCAGATCGGTCAACCTTGGACGACCTCGGCTTTTCCACTGACTTTCCGACCGCCTCTTCTCTTGGCCAGCGGCGGCGTTCAGCCTTGAACGGCCGCCCTGACGCGGTGCAAACTTGCCGAACCCCTGGTCCTCCCTTCCCTCATCTCCCTTTCTCCCTCCCTGAGGGGCACCGTTAGGGGGGAACCACAAGCCAGGAATCGTCGATACATTTCCGATAGATCGGCGCTAGGCCCCGGATAACGAAACAGACGCTCCTGGGCGAAGTGGGCTATCGGGCTCCTTTCGGCGATGAGTGGGCGAGGAGGGGTTGATGCACCCCCCCATGAGGGCATCCCCCCCTAACGTTGCCCCTGGCGCCCCCTGCCCCCGCTGGCGCAGCCTGCCCCCGAAGGCTCCTTCCGGTGGGCCCGAGGGGAACTCCAGAACCCCCCCAGAAGGCGTCCGAGAGAACATCCCGAGAGCCTGCTCACGATCTCCTCTCGGGCCTTGCTTAATGGGGTGGCATCACATGGGGGGGGGGGGGGGGGGAGACAGGTGCACCTGGAACTTTGGCGCACCTTCGGGACCCAGGGGGCGCCCCTTTAGGGCCCCTTCTTCCTGCAGCCCTCGATCCCCTCCTGTCTCGCCCCGCCCCCTATGAAACGCACAATCCTCCCCGCCATTACGTATATGTCGCCGCGCCGTTTGTCTTGAACGCGTGCAGGTGGACGACGCTGGCACCACGGCACACCCATAGCAAACCCTGCGCCCCGCACTCCAAGCAGACGACGCCGCCACGTGTTAGACCCCACGGCGAACCCACCGCGCCCGAGGCGGCGCCTGCCCTGGTGGCCGCGCTGCCCTCCCCGAGACGCGTGGCCGCGCGCCGGAGCAAACGGCGCGGCGACGCAGGTTCCGGGGTTAGGGGGCCACATGCGAACCCTACCCCTACCCCCCACGATTTCTGAGGGGGAGGGTGGGGTTCACTTGGCTCGGGAGCTCCCGAACGAAGTGAACCCCACCCCCTCCTCAGAAATCGTGGGGGGTAGGGGTAGGGCTCGCATGTGGCCCCCTAGGGGTCTCCCTGGGTCGCCCACCTGCGCGCTCCGCGCCCCGCGAGGCCGCGGCGCGCGGACCTCGTCGTGCCCTCGCGCCGCCGCCCCGGGTCGGGGAGGCGCGGTGCTCGAGCTCTCTTGGGTGGCTCGGGCTGGCCCGGCCGGGAGCGCCGGAGAGTGGCGGGGCCCACTGGGGAGTGTGGTGCGAGCTCCCGCCGCAGAGCATCTCACGAAAATCGGACCGCCAGGATCCCCGCCGAAACCGTAGAAGAGCGGCGGCGAGACCGAGATCCAGCAAACTCGAAGCTTACGTTTCGACCCCAGGGCGGGCAACTTAAATTGGCGCCGCCCCCTTCTGTAATCAATGTTCTCCAAGGTGACACCAAGAGTGGCCCAAGGCCTCCAACAGAGCCCTAAGTGAGCATCAAGAGGGCCTCGAAGGCCCCAACAAATGACCCAAGATGGCTCCCGGTGGGTCCAAAAGGCTCACAGAGCTAAACATCCACAAAGTCCTTTATGGTTGTATAGTCGTCGTCGTCGTCGTCGTCGTCGTCGTCGTCGTCGTCGTCGTTACTGTCGCCTGCTTCCTCCCTCGTCCTTCTCTTCCTCCTCGTCCTCATCCTACTCATTCTGCTCCTCCTCCTCTTCCTCCTCCTCCTCCTCCTCTCCCCCCCACCTTCTATGGTATCCTTATCGTCATCCTTCCCCTGTCGTTCACACCAATACTTTTATCCTTCACCTCACATCCTCCTCCTCCTCCTCCTCCTCCGCCTCATCATCATTAACATCTCCTACTCCTCCGCCTCCTCCTGCTCCTCCTCCTCCTCCTCCTCCTCCTCCTCCTCCTCATCATCATCATCATCATCATCATCATCATCATCATCATCATCATCATCATCATCCGCATCCTCATCGTCCACACTTTCTTCATTCCGCCTGGGGTTTACCAGAAACTGAAATGGAACGTGATGCATCGAACCATGTTCCTTCTATTTGCCTTCCTCCTGTTCCTTTATCATGTTTCTTCGTCTTCACTGCTCCTCATCCTTCTCCTCGAACGACTCCTCATTTGGTAGAACTGCGGAGGAATATGGCTCACTCCTTAGGTCTGCTGAAGCTGATCCAGAACTTCAGTATGACAGCTGCCCCCTTCTTTGCTCCACTGAATGATGCTACGCTACCCTGGTAAGCTCGCCTGGGCATAATTTCTGAATGGGCTGCTGGGGTACGCGAAGCGTCAAATGATCGGATTGAGAGCAGTCGGAAATCTCTGAGAACTGGAGGGTCTGGAAGATGTATCGGGCGACGCGGCCAGGAACGATCCGAGAGCGTTCGAAAACGTCATGGACATTGCATCCTCGCTCAAGGCCTGCCTGACTATATGCACACAGAGGGCCAGCGGCGGGGCCAGGGGCCGGGATTTCTTTTAGCGGCGGGACTGCGACTCACAGCCAATCTTTAGGGTAAAGTCCACCTTGGTTTCGCAAGGAACCCAATGCTCATCAAGTCCTTGCACGGGAATTCTCGTGGAGCTCCTCTTGCATCGAGGCACAGCTGAAGCTCAAACGGGGCTTCGTTCCTTGTCCAAGGCCCCCTAATTACGGCAAGATTTTGACTGCACATTCCCAAGACGGTGGAGCCCCGTCTGAGGCGCCGCTCCATCATCGCGGCACCTTCTCCCGATCGGAATCGTGACGATGGCGTCCTCCCGGAGGGCCTGCCCGATCGTGCCATCGATCGCGACCGATCTCGGTTGAAGATTTCCACTGCGTTTGCCCCCTCCCCCCCGCAGAACTCCTCCGCGGAGCTGTGCCGCAGCGCGAGACGGGGCAGAGCATGACGGCCAGGGAGACGCCGAATGCACCATCACGAATACGAACTATTCGCCATCACGCCGTGAAACCAGGAGGCAGGGGAAGACGCTCGGAGAATCACTGACTTGCGTGTGCGACTGTGAAATCTATTTCTCAAATTTCAAATGATACCGGAGAATAACCCCAATCATAACTTTTTAGGGCTGTAGGGTTATAGGGCTATATGGGCTATAGGGCTATGGGGCTATAGGGTAATAGAGCTACAGGGCTACAGGGCTATAGGGGTATAGGGCTATAGGGCTACAGGGTATAGGGGTATAATGCTATGGAGCTATAGGGCTATACGGCTATAGGGCTATAGGGCTATTGAGCTATAGGGCTATTGGGCTGTAGAGCTATAGAGCTGTAGGGCTATAGGGCTACAAGGCTACAGGACTATAGGGCTATAGGGCTATAAGACTATAGGGCACCCCCGGGCGCCCGGGAACCCCCAGGCACGCCCGGGCACCCGGGCACCCCCGGGCCCCCGGGCACCCAGGCGTGCGGCGAAAATCGGCGGCAAACCTAACCTAACCATATGAATCCGCTAGGACCCCTACAGAGGCAAGCTCTGATTGGGGAACATCCGTTCTGGCCCTGGAGGCCGTCACATCCTGCACTTCGAATAGATGATCGACTACATAATTAATTTACCTCAAAAATTAAAACTTTCGCCGAATCTACAACACGAATGTATATTGTTCGTAGATCACCGAGAACCCTGTGCATGTGTTGCAGATGGACGAATATTCTAAATTTTGAAGTAAATCCACAATCGATCTCCTACTCGAGCACTGGCCCCGCGACAAGAGTGAAATCCGTGCCGATGCACTATCCGAGCCAAGCGAAGTCCTTGCACAATGCTACGCCAATCAATTTCGGCCACGAGGCCCGAGCGCGCCGACGACCAAAAGCGTTCAGCCGAGGGGCGCAGGGGGCTGGAGCCACTGCAGATCCTCTGCCCAGAGCTCGGTCCGGGAAATCTTCTTGGCGTACGCGTCCCTCAGGCTTTGGAGCTCCTCCTGGGCGGCGACAAGGCATGCGGGCTCGGGTCTAGCAGTTGGACGGCGGGCGTCGCCTGAAGCGCAGGCTGGTTTGGCAGCGGCCAGCGTGCACCCTCCTGGAAGGGGCGAACGGAGACGATCGCGAGCGGTGCTGGGGGCGGGGGTCGGCAGGCGAGGGGGGATGGCGTGGGCGATGGCTTCCCCGATATGCGATGTCTGGATCTTTTCAAGACGTGGTACCCAGAAGTCTCGACTCTTTTCCACCAGCGACGGTCCTGATGACCGGCGAGGACCCCAGAGGCCGAAACAAACATCTGTCCGGCGTGGTTTTTTGTCACGGCGCGAACATGTCTGGGCTATGGGGCTCAGGCTTGTAGCGAGTGATGGGGAGGCTGGAGGAGAGTGCGCGGGCCTGGGCAGAATGATCGAGGGGTATGCCGCCTGCGGACGGTCGAACCTCATTTCTCGAAACGCCGTGGGTGACTCCCGAGTTAGGTGTTCTCATCTGGCCGTGCGGTAGTGGCTATCGGTGCCACAGTCCGCCGCGCTGCGTCGCTGAGTCAGGATCGCACTATAACTAAGAAGGGGGCGGGGGAAAATACAATCGCAGCCACCTTGTAGCGAGGCGACCTAACGGTGTGGCTGGTTAGTGGTCTGGATTCTGATTCATGCAATCGCTGGCTGCACACTGATACTTGATTTCTTCTGGACAACCGCAAGCACCTTCACAGTCCAACCTCTCCTGAAATGTCGCCTCGCACCACGCCGTTACGGGCCGCACCACTTGCCCGCAGTTGGGCATAGCCACCTCGCAGCTACCAAACGCATGAGTGAGCCAATCAGTACAGTCTTTACTTTAGAGTGCAATAGTGGCCACCACCTCAACGTTCAGCACTACTCTGTTTGTATGTGCGCAAGCGTTGAGAAACCAATCCTGAGATAGCGCCTCGATCCTATTTGGAACTCCCCTGGATCTTTCTGGCAATCTGGAACCCCATTCGAAATGTAGAGGGAGTCGACGGGACAGACTCTTTCCCGTGCGCGCCCATCTCCCGCCCCTGAGGCCTCCCTTTCAGACAGCCCGCATAATTACGCTTGCTTTCAGCTTGCCCTGGCGTCGACCGAACGAGTGGTCCAGGCTCGTTTTCTGCTGGGCCACGCACTGGACGGAACGGCTTAAGACCCAGCTGATCACATGGCGCGGACCTCCAGTCACCGGCTACACGCAAGAGTGACCGTCGGCAAGAGTGACCTCTGGTGCGCGGCTGTAGGGGGGCGCGGGGGGGCCAAACCCATGCGCGCAGGCCAGTGCTGGGGGGGAACCCTGAGTGCCCACATCAAAAGTCACTCTGGCGGGGGGTCACTCTTACACACATCCGAACACACCCTGCAACTCGATTTCGCCAGACACGGGCCAATACCCCGTGACTAATTCCCCAGGGCCCACATTTTCATCCTGATCCCTTTTTAACTCAGCCTTCCCCCCAGACGGGGACTCCACTAAGGGAAACCTTGGCCAGCGACCCGGCGAACCCAAGCCTTCCCGACGCGGGCAATGTTGCAATGCCAACAAGGAGCTCAAAGTGGCAACTGCCAGCGGGTTTCCAAAGTCTCCGTCAGTGACTAAGTATACTCATTAGGGTGCCGCTGATTCACGACCCCGAGGCCGACACTGGAGGCTCCCTACGACCCTTTCTCCCGGGCCGGCTTGTCATCCTGAGTCGCTTTCTGACGGCCCCATGGCCCAGCGGGGTCCTCCAAAGGCAGAAAATTGCCAAAAACATTCCGTGCCCCGCCGTGGCGACGAGGAGGTCATGGGACTCCCGCAAGAGGGAGCAAGACCTTCCCTGAGATGAGTCGCAACGACTGCGATTGTTGCGCGCCGCGCCCGTGGCCTACAACCCCTGAGATCCTGGCATCGCAATTTTTCAGCGCCAAGCGTCATCGCAGAGATTCGGGCCCCAGGATCCTCACAGGTCGATCCGGCTCGAAAATCGGCGCAGAAAGATGAGGTCTAGGGCTCCAGCCGTGATTGTTCACTATGTCACACTTTTGCGAGATGCCGGATCTCAGGGAAACAAAATCACGCGAATTGTCCACAAAGCCTGCCCACACATCCGACAATGTTTCGATCCGTGGCCCTAAAGGTGCTCTGCCCCTTCAGGAGGGGTAGCGGACCTTTGGGGCCAGGATCGCTTCGGAGAATCTCCAAATCTGCTCCAAGAGGGGGTAGAGGACCTGTGGCGCGGCTTCAAAAGCTGCCTTCGGACAATCTCCAGGGGCAACCTTCGTCCTGGACTGCTTCTGACCGCCCTGGGGGGCCCAGAAGTGGCCCTCGAAGGCCGAAGTGAGGGCACAGCGCGGCGGCTGAAATGGCAGCCCTTCGGAGGCCCAGGTCCCAACAGTGCACCTCGTGCGACATCGCGCCACAAAAAGGCGTTCAGCGAAACGCGAAGGAGCGACCCTAGGCGGTATCAGATGGCGCGAGGCTTGTCGATTGCTGCGTGCGATGCGACAGCAGCAGCATGCGCAAGTAGTTGCCCCCCCCCTTGGCGCTGCCGAAACCCACACACCAAGTCACTTCGGCGACTAAGTGGCACTCAGAGCAAGATGGCGATACCGCTACTCCCCAGACCTGGCCACAATATCTAAGCGAATCCAGCCGTGGCGACGAGTGACAGGTATCGGTATCGATAATTACCTCTCTCTCCGCTGCACTCCACAGACATCCTAGGTATGTTGTGTTCGATCCGGCGGCTCCATGGCCCGATCACGGGCCCTGGAGGCAGACATCCAAGAAAGGCTGCCAGTGTGAAAAAACATCGTCGGGCAATATTCCCAGACGACATCAGACGTTCTGATTCTTTCAAGTCGGGGTCCGCGGAAGGCTCGACCCTTTCCCGAGGGCCGGTTTTTCATCCCGAGCCGTTTGTCGACGACCCCGAGGCCCCGCGAGAGCCCTCGGAGCCCAAACACGACGAAAGACCTCGGCCTTGATTTGTTCAATGCGCGGGGTGTCTGGGATCTCTCCTCTCCTCTGCGCTCTCCTCGGCTACACGCAAGGGCCTGTCTGTAGGCAAGAAGAGTGACCTTTGGTGCGCGGCTTCAGGGGGCCGCGGGGAGGCCAGATCCGAGCTCGCAGGACAGTGTCGGGACACCTGTGAGCCCGCACCTGCCTCGAAAAGATTGCAACATCGTGAGACATCACGACTGGAACCCTGGACCCCATCTTTCTGCGCCACTTTTCGAGCCGGATCGATCTGTGGAGGCCCTGCGGGCCCGAAGCCTGGAGAAAACGCCCGGCTCGCAAAAATCGAGGAGGACACTCCGGCGAAGGGTCTATTCTGCGTGCACAGTCCACCCGTATCCTGAGGACGCGCGATCAGGATGCAAGGGCCGGGGCCAGCGAGAGTGGCCACGGCTGGGCCGAAGGGGCAGGCTGCTCGAGGGCAACCTCGGGACGCCGCTCGCCCCCGCCGACCGCTCTGCGGGTTCTGCCCGCAGCCCGCTCGCGCCAACGCCGATCCGCGCCCTCCGCCGGCCGCCACCGCGCGGGGCCGCCGGCCTCCAGGCGCCGGACCCTGCGCCGGAGCGCGTCGGCGTCCCCTGCGCGAGGGGGGTCGCCGGCGCGCAGGCGGGCCCCTCAAGTCTGGACGTGGCGGCGCGCCGAAGGGGGCACCCCGAGACCCAGACGTCCTCGCGTCGTGAGAAAAAGGAGGTGCGGCAAATTCCTCGTTACTTTCGGCCTCCGGGGGGCCTTACTGGGCCTCGGGACCGTCAAATAAGAACTCGGGATGAAAACCGAGCCCGGGGAATGGGTCGATACCTCGACGTGAGCAAAATTATGACGTCGGGGTCTGGGGACTCTGGCGGCTCGATTTTAAAAAGCCGGGAGTTTTCGCCCACATATCGACTCACTCACTCACTCATGCCATACGCCGGAGCGCGTGGGCGAAAGAAGACAAGACAAGGCCAGCCGATTCTCACCGCTTTGCGGGAGCGGCGGCACTACGGCGGTCGCATAAAACACAACGTGCGCGGCAGCAGGAGGAGGAGACAGGATGGGTCCGGGACTCCGGCCTTTATTTTTCATATTCTAGCTTGCATTATTTCACTACGCCGGATCTCAGGGTTGGCCGCAGGTGGACCCCTCAGATCCTGCGAGCCCCAGAGAATATGCGACCACCACCACCACCACCTTCACTCCCCCTCCCTCCTCCACTCTCCTCTTCCCCTCCTCTCCTGGGAGAGGGGGCATTTGGAGAAGGTGGTGGCAGCGTATATTTGTGGGCCAATCAGATCCACGCTCGGCTCGCGAAAAGGGGCCAGCGCGAGGGGAGCGGCCTGCTGAGAAGGCGGTGGGGGCTTCGAAGGAGGCAGGGGCACTCTTAGAAGCCCTCACAGCCTCTAAGAAGACTCCTGAGAAGCCTCCGTGCCCTTCTAAAAAGCAGGACCTGGAGGCAGGCGGACACCTCCCAGACATGCTCGCGTCGCTTTCGTGAAACAAATCCTTGTGTCCGTTTTCGACCTCCAGGGGCCCTGTCCGGGTCCGGGGAAAAAGAACCCTCTGGGTGAAGAACAGTGCCTGGGCCACGGGCTGGGACTTAAGGGGACGGCTGGGCTCAGATCCAGACATCGCGGATCAGTTTCTGCAATCGCGGCGCCTTCTGCTGGACCACCGGATGCGCGAGGACACTGCCCAGACTGTTCCTCCTACTCCTCCGCCTGTTCTTCCCTCGGCTCTTCCTCTGCCTCCTCCTCGTTCCTCGTCCCTCCTCGTTCCTCCTCTTCCTCCTCCTCCTCCTCCTCCTCCTCCTCCTCCTGTCTCACCCTCGGCCTCCAAGGGCTGCGCTTGTGCCCCAGGGGCGCTCCAAAACTGCCCCTCGGCCGAACAAACAATGTTTCTGGGGACAAGGTTCGGGAGGCCTGCGGCTGCGGATAGATTGAGAAGACCACACCGCCGAACGCCTGGGGGCCCAGGTCACAGGAAACCGCGATGGCTGGTCTGTTTTGGCGGTGTGCACCGCGGTGCGGTTTGCAAAAGGTGAGGTTTGCAATGCGCACCCTGGGGGGCGGGCGAGGACCTTGATTGAGTTCTCCGCCGCGCCCCGAGGAGGCCCGACGAGGGCAACGCGGTGCACCCCGAAGCCCCAGAGACGCAGAACACTAACCACACCCAGGCGGAACCACACGGACGCAGATCGCAAACCGCCTCGCCGAATATTGGCGGCGTGCACAGGGTAGGGGGAAGGGAGAAGGCTGCTTTGAAGGAGGCTGCTTCTTAGACGGCGCCGGCCCGACATCTACAGACCATGCCCGCGCCGCGACTTCTGAGAAACAGGGGTGTTACTAAGAAGCATTCCCACCTCCCCCTACCTCCCCCCTCTGCGCATGGCCGACTTTTGACATATTCGTTCTCTAATGCCAGTTCCTGGCCCACGTCAGGCGGCCCCGAGAGCGGTCAACACCGAGTCGATCAATCGGACTGGATCGGAACGCGCCATCGAATCTGGCAGCGGCGTCACGGAACAGGGAGCAAACCAGAGCGGCCATGCCAGGATGCACAACCGCAACAGCGCCATGCAAGTATCGGACCACATCGGATGGTCGGAGCATCGGACTCGAATCGGATCGGGCCGGTCGAAACCGATGTTGAACTGGATCGATCAGATCGAAAAGGACCTCATGGATCCAAGCGTCGCACAACAACAATATCTGCGACTGCTTTTTTTGACGTTGACGACCTCCGAAGGCTGTTTCCTGGTCCCAGGCCCATCCAAACTAAGAGCTGGCCAAAGTCGGTACGGCCCCCAAAACTCCAGACCCTCTCCCCAGGACCGGAATTTCACCCCGAGACTTTTTGTTGACAGCCCCTGAGACTGGCGAGGGCCCCTGGAGGCCGAAAACTGCCGCAAGCCGCCGTCGGCAAGTTTTCACGACCCGAGCATGCCTGAGCCCCTCCTTTCCCAATCCCCCCCCATGTTCGTCGGACCCGACAGAATTCGACAGCCCAAAGGGCCCCCGCCACGAAGAAAGAACAGCCTGCGACGCCTGAGGTGCCGCGGGGGTGCAGCCCTCCCCTCGCGCGACAGCGGACCCTGATGCTGAAAGCGCTTCGCTAGAGGACTCCTCTAGAGGTAAGAATGGACAATAGAAGAGTCTCACGGGGGTGGAAGGGGAGCCCGAGGGCGACCTGGCTAGCAGCCCAAATGACGCTCAATAAGGTAGCCGTTTCGCCGGAGGTTTCCTCACAATTTGATCGGGATTCGTGCCCTTGCCCGAATGCTGGCTACATGTTTGGACCGGACGGCCACGAGCCCTCCTAAAAGAAACGCGAAATTGCAAATGGCTGTGCGCTCATACCTTCTAGTCCTCGACCCCTGCTGCTATGGGGGTACCATGCTGGGGTACCGTGTACCTTCGGCCTCATGTGGGAGCTGGCCCTGGGGCAGGAGTCGAGGGAACGCGTCCGGCGAGGACTTTCGGAATCGGCCCAGAACCCCCACTCCAGAACAGCCGCGGATGGACCTAGCCAGGGTGACTCCGAGGCTCGGCTCGACAAAGACGAGAACCGTCGCTGGGTCCGCCAGCCGACTGCAGACCGAAGTCTTTCGAGCCGAAACGCTGCCTCAGAAGCCTGCGCCCCAGCGTGAAGATAAAGTCCGCACTGGGGTCAGCACCCTGAGGTGTCCTTTGCCACTCAGCTCATATAGTGTGCATGTGTATATTTACGTGTGTGTATATATATAGTATACGTTCCCACCGTTCTCCCCAGAGATCCGATGTCTTGGTTTGTTCACCCGTTACGACCCCCCCGAAGTCCAGACCCTTTCCTGGGGCCTGGCTTTTCATCCCTAGCTGTCTTTTATCGTCCCGGGGCCCAGCGAGAGGCCCCAGAGGCCGAAAAAGATAAGACACGTTCCTTCTTGTCTATGTTCAACACATTGTATGCCTGGATCAGACGCATCCGAGCCGCGAGGATGTGTCGCGCATCCCCTCTCCTCTCCTCTCTTCCCATTCCCTCTCCCGCTTTCCTGGCTCTGCGCAGGAGTGCGCCTTTGTGAGTGTGCGGAGATCCGTTGGCTGTGCTGCGTTTTTGGTAGGGCTCCTTCTCCCCAGAAGCAGCAGCAACCTCGTCAAGCCAATCCATGTGTCCTGGAAGGACGCCCTCTACCCAGACATGCCAGCGTCGTTGAAAAGTAACGACAGGAAATGTTTGCCAATTTTCGCGACCCAAGAGCCCTCGCCAGGCCCCGGGACTGTCAACAAAAAGACTCAGGATGAATTTCCGGCCTCGGGGACGGGGCTTTTGGGGACATCGTCTTGAAAGTCAAGACGTCACTTGTCGGGGCGTACACCTTCGGGTGTCATGCCTGGGGTCCTGGAGGGACGCCCTCTACGGCTCAGCGAAAAACTCAAACATCCGACGATGTGTTTTTTGTCCATCCGCGCAGACCCCTCGCCCCAAGGCAGCCTTTCTCTCGAGACCCGCTTTTGACAATCCCAGGCCCGCAAACGGCCCGAAGAAACGCCGCGGCTCAAAAGACCTTCGGAAACGTGCGACTGGCACCGTGGCGCAGGGGCAACCTCCTGCATCGCCGATTTCATCACACCACCACTGCTCGGAGGAGGGCCAACCGAGACGGCCCTCCCACCTGGCCCAAGTCCGCACAGAATCGGTCCACGGATCCCTCCCCGGCTGCATCATCACCTGTTTTTCCCCACATCCTTAGTGGGGTTCTTGTTTTCCCAGAACACCCTCTCCTTCTCCTCCTCCTCCTCCCGCGTCCTTCTCCTAAACCATACCATACGATACCATTCCGCACATCACCATACCATACCAAGCCATACCATACCAATACCATACCATACCAATACCATACCAAGCCATACCAAGCCATACCATACCAATACCATACCATACCATTACCATACTATACCAAGCCCTACCATACCAATACCATACCGTACCAATACCATACCAAACCATCCCAAGCCATACCATACCAATACAATACCATACCAACACCATACCGAGCCATACCATACCATACCAATACCATACCAATACCATGCAACACCTGTTGTTTTATCACGTTTCGTCTGAGCTCCCTTTCACCATACCAATACCATACCAATACCATACCAATACCATGCGCCCCTCCCACCCCTCCAGGGAGGCCCCGCCTGAGCGAGGACGCTATTCGAAAACAATGTTATGTATCAGGTTTCGTGCCCCTCCCACCCCTCCAGGGAGGCCCCGCCTGAGCGAGGACGCTATTCGAAAACAATGTTATTTATCAGGTTTCGTGCCACACCCACCCCTCCAGGGAGGCCCCGCCTGAGCGAGGACGCTATTCGAAACCACTGTTATTCATTAGGTGTCGTGCCCCTCCCACCCCTCCAGGGAGGCCCCGCCTGAGCGAGGACGCTATTCGAAAACAGTGTTATTTATCAGGTTTCGTGCCCCTCCAACCCCTCCAGGGAGGCCCCGCCTGAGCGAGGACGCGATTCGAAAACAGTGTTATTTATCAGGTTTCGTGCCACACCCACCCCTCCAGGGAGGCCCCGCCTGAGCGAGGACGCTATTCTTATTTATCAGGTTTCGTGCCCCTCCCACCCCTCCAGGGAGGCCCCGCCTGAGCGAGGAGGCTATTCGAAAGCAGTGCTATTTATCAGGTTTCGTGCCCCTCCCACCCTCCAGGGAGGCCCCGCCTGAGCGAGGACGCTATTCGAAAACAGTAATATTTATCAGGTTTCGTGCCACACCCACCCCTCCAGGGAGGCCCCGCCAGAGCGAGGACGCTATTCGAAAACAGTGTTATTTATCAGGTTTCGTGCCCCTCCCACCCCTCCAGGGAGGCCCCGCCTGAGCGAGGACGCTATTCGAAAACAGTGTTATTTATCACGTTTCGTGCCCCTCCCACCCTCCACGGAGGCCCCGCCTGAGCGAGGACGCTATTCGAAAACAGTGTTATTTATCAGGTTTCGTGCCCCTCCCACCCTCCAGGGAGGCCCCGCCCCGCCTGAGCGAGGACGCTATTCGCGAACAGTGTTCTTTATCAGGGTTCGTGCCCCTCCATCCCCTCCAGGGAGCCCGCGCATGAGCGAGGACTGTAGTCGCGAACAGTGTTCTTTACCAGATTTCGTGCCCCTCCCACCCCTCCACGGAGGCCCCGCCTGAGCGAGGACAGTATTCGCTAACTTATCAGGTTTCGTGCCCCTCCCACCCCTCCAGGGAAGCCCCGCCTGAGCGACGACGCTATTCGCGAACAGTGTTATTTATCAGGTTTCGTGGCCCTCCCACCCTTACAGGGAGGCCCCGCCTGAGCGAGGACGCTATTCGAAAACAGTGTTATTTATCAGGTTTCGTGCCCCTCCCACCCCTCCAGGGAGGCCCCGCCTGAGCGAGGACGCTATTCGAAAACCATGTGATAGAAAAGGATGGAGAGGGCGAGGGCAGGTCGGCAATTTCATGACAAAATGATCCTTGATTCCGCTATCCCAATAACATCATTATGTGGGGAACTCCGTTAGCATAATTCGAGGTGGATCCAGCCGTGGCGACGAGAAGCGTCCAGGCGGCCCCAAGAGGACGAAGAACGCCACCCAGACATGCGACTTAAATTCGCAGTCCCCAGAAATTTCGATCCTTTCCCCAGGGCTGTGTCTTCGTCCCGAGTCTTTGTTCAGGGCCCCCCGAGACCGAAAACAGCCACGAACCTAGCCTCGTGGCTTCTACACTGCGCCGCGAGCCTGGCTGGGGCCGTGGCGACGAGAGGCCCCCGGGCCTCCCACAAAGGATGAAGAACGCACGAGAAGGCCGCGGCTGTCTCGACTGGCCCTCCCCCGACCGATGCTCGTTCCGGGGAGCTTCCCGGAGGCACCCGTTCCACTCGTGCGTCGATGCTGCGTCGAACGCCTGTCAAAAGAAGTCGATCTTAGCGAAACTGCTTATGCATCACCCGGGAGTTGGGTCCCTGGGTGACGGGAACGCTTGGGCGGGGTGGGGCACGTCGGGGAGGGGGCGCGTGCAATCGCAATAGTTTGTGTGTGAACACCAGCATGCGGGGGCGGGGTCCCAGCGCCCCCCACCTACGTGTGATCGTTACTGCTACCTGGCGGGAGGTTGGCCTGGGTAGCGACCGTTACCCGCCAGAGGCTGGAAAAAAAAATCCTGAGTCGAACTTGAGTCGAGCTAACGTCGAGCAGATCCGTGAGGTGGGCCCCAGGAAGGTTCCCCAAACGAACATCTGAAGGGGGGGCGCCGCTGCCACCCCGCAGAGCGGGAGTGGGGCTGGGTCGCCCCGACTCTGCGCATCGCGGCGGCGCGCGTGCGCGCCGCGTGCCTCGCGCACGCGAAGGGCGCACGGGGTGCCCCCGGCGGAGGAGGCGCAGAATGGTACAATTTCTGTGCCGTGCTGCGCTGCGCTCCATCAGGCGAGTGCCGTGCTGCACTTCCACAACGCACCATAGCTGCCTCATTCTACGCTTGCGCACGAAGGGCCCCTACTGCATGTGAATGGGAGGGAAGGATCAGAGAGCCAACCCTACCAAATATCAGTGGGATGGACACGATACATGTCTTCCCCTCTCACAAGGAGAGAACCTCGTGGGTCAACATATGACGCCAGCAGTGGATGAGGAGAAGAGGTACGTATGAGAGAGAAAGAGAGAACACACACACACACACACACCAATAAACAAACAAACAAACACACACAAACACTACATGCGCGGCGCTGAACAATGGATCCGCTTGGTGGGCCCAAGGAGGCCCCCCAAAGACGGGCACCTGAGACCTGACTGTGAGCCGTGGAAGGCCGAGGGCGAGCGGGGGGCCTGATTCGCCCTCGGCTCGCGGCGCCTGCCCCCAGCCGCCGCGCGGGAACGCCGCTGTCGCCGTCGGCTCCCCACTTGAGTGACGAAAAGAAGCGAGTGTCCACGCGAGATGGCATTGCGATCTTACGCGGTGGCCTACGCAGGCCGCCAACGCGGCAATCATAGGAAACGCGGGCGCGCACGCGCGACCTTGTCGTTGGCAGCTTACGCGCGAGTGTCCGCGCAGTCGACCACCTCTCCTCTTAGAAGGCAAATGCTGGGGTGTCTTCGTAAGAACGATTAAGGGCTACGACGCCAGAGTGAAGGGACACTAAACCAAATTAGCCCCGATTGGAACAATTGTTCTTGAGACTCTACCGAGTTTACTTGCATGGAGGGGGTTGGGTGGGCGTGGCGAGGCCCGAAAGGACATCTGGACTTCATGCAGATTGGGACTCACTTGCACGCCTTTTCGGTCCAGCGCTGCTTGAAATGGCGGCGGAGGGGGGGGAATGCCATGCAAGTAGACATGCCAGAATCGAATGAAACACAATGATTGTGAGGCCATCCAGCCAGATTAGCCCGACGTCGAAGCCTATGATTAAGCCAGACTGAGCCGGATTAGCGAGGATCAAACGGGACTATGCCAGATTAGGCCTGTCTTCGACCACTGATCTACCAGCGCCGACACTGAGTAAACCTCCCAGGCATTGCATCCGAACTCCTGTTCTCCTCGCCTGGCTCTCATGCTTGAGCACACCTTGCAGCGCTATATTGACCGACCTCGAACTCATCCCCAGACATACTCGCGTCGTGAACAAAAAACACGGTGTGAAGATGTTTGCCGTTTTCGGCCTCTAGGGGCCCTCGCCGGGATCTGGGACCGTCAACAAACGTCTTGGGATAAGAAGCCCGCCCCGGGGAAAGGTTCGGGACTTGAGGTCCCACGCATTGAACAAATCGCACGTTTGGGTTGCCAAGCCTTGGACTCACCCGTATCCCAAAGGTTGACAGGCCCGAGGCGAAGCGCTCAGAGGTGCGGCCTCGGAGGGCGAGGGGGGCCCACGAGATCGGCACTGACACAAGGCGAGGTTGGTCGTCGGGAAAGAAGGATGTTTCAGGCTGGGTGGCAGGTTTTGTTTCGTATGATAGTTTTTTCCCCAACCCTCCTTGGTTGAGCATTCGCTTTGAATAGAGCACTGCGGTCGCGTCTCCTTCTCCTCCTCCTCCTCCTTTCCCCGCCTCGCTCTTGTCTCCTCTTCCCTTGTGCGTACCTCTTGTGTGTGCATCTTGTCTGCGGAACCTCTTGTGTGTGCATCTTGCCTGGGGGGCTGCGATGTTCGAAACTGTTGCCGCTTCCGAGGGCTGCTGGGGGGGGGCCAGCATGGTGGGTAGCCGCCGCAGATCCAAAGTAGACCTCGCCATCCATGGGGGGCTGCGATTTGCAACACTGTCGCCGCTTTCGAGGGCTGCTTGGGGGGTCAGCATAGTGGGTGGTAGCCGCCGCAGATGCAAATTAGACCTCGGTATCCCTGGGGGGCTGCGATTCGCAAAACCGTCGCCACTTTCAAGGGCCGCTTGGGGGGGACAGCATGGTGGGTAGCCGCAGCAGATCCAAAGTAGACCTCGCCATCCCTGGGGGGCTGTGATTTGCAAAACTGTCACCATTTTCGAGGGCTGCTTGGGGGGCAAGCATATCGGGCTGGCGCCGCAGATCCAAAGTAGACGTCGACATCCCTGGGGGTCATTTGCGAAACTGTCGCAACTTTCGAGGGCGGCTTGGGGGGCCAGCTACAGTGGGTAGCCGCCGCAGATCCAGATTAGACCTCGTCATCCCCAGGGGGCTGCGATCTGCGAAACTGTCGCCACTTTCGAGGGCTGCTTGGGGGCCAGCATAGCGACCTGCGAAGCTGTCACCATTTTCGAGGGCTGCTGGTGGGTCCAGCGGAAGGAGGCACCGCGCAGATCTGAGCGAGACCTCGCCGTCCCTGGGGTGCTGCGATCTGAGAAACCGTCGCCACTTTCAAAGGCTGCTGGCGGGTCCGGCTGAATGAGGCACCGCGCAGATCTGAGCGGGACCTCGCCGTCCTTAGGGGGCTGCGATCTGCGAAACCGTTGCTACTGTCGAAGGCTTGTGGCGGGTCCAGCGGAGTGAGGCACCATGCAGATCTGAGCGGGACCTCGCAATCCCTGGGGGGCTGCGAGCCTCACGATTGCCGCTCGCAGAAGCATATGCGCTCATGTCACGCCATCACCTCCGTATAACATCTCCCAAGCTGATCATGCCCGGCATTGCGCAGGGGTTGGGTACGTCGCCAGGGTAATCATTATTATTCGTCTTCTTCTCCTTCTTCTTCTTCTCCTTCTTCTTCTTCTTCTTCTTATTCTTCTTCCCAAGCTCGCTTTCTGAGCATCGGGGCGGACGAAAGGGGGGCAAGTAAAGGGGGGGGTTGGCGAATCTGCTCACATGGCAGATCATCCCAGCGCCCCCCGGCGCCGGAGGCGCCCGTGTATCGAAGGAACCGCCCAGCGGTGGAGGCGAAATCAGCTGCACGCAACAGATTTCGTCATCCCCCCTTGCCCTATCCACCCCCTTCTTTTTCGTCCGCCTCACAGAATGTGCTGGGAACGGCGGCACCGTAATTGCCCAACGCCTTCGCGAGGGCACGCCCTGGAGGAGGGGGGAAGGCCACGTGCCAAAAGGTGCCCGCAGGCCTCAAAAGGGGGAGCCCGCACATCGCAGCACGACAGGTTCGTGTGATGTCGACGTCGGCGTTGCCTCCTCTGGCACCGCATGGACCGCACCACTAGAGGCCTCCTAGATGGGGTCCGAGTAGATGGATGGGGTCGAAGGAACGCGATACATCGCCGATGCATCGGCGACGCATCGGCGACGCGGGTCGATGTGGAGCCCGCTTGTTTCCAGGCCGACGTCGCCGATGCATCGCAAACATCGCCGATGCATCGACGATGCATCGGTGCATCGGTGATGCGTTGGCGATGCGGCGCAATTCTCCGACCCTATCTGATCTGACCCCATCTCGGAGGCTCGCCATCGCTCGGACGTCCATTCCCCGTGCATTTTTCGGCTTCGTGGGTGTATTTTCTTGCACGGTGACCCAAAAAGCTCCTCGATGGCCCTCGCAGAAGGAAAAAACTGATAAGTCCGAGCGATGCCAGGGAAGCCCAGGTCAGCCCTGAGCGACCAAGGCTGTCCGCTGGCGCAGACTCTTCGACCTGGGCCGATGCCGGGCCACTGGCGGCGTTCGGGCTCGAAGGCCCGCGCAGGTAGTGCCGACGCGTCGATACGGCGCGGGTCTGCCGCACGCGCATGGGAGACAAGGTGTGGAGGGGCTGGCACCAGCGTGAAGCGAAGCGCCCCCCCCAGGTCGGGAAGACTGACATTTCGGTCTCGGCCCGTGCCGCGCATGCGGACGAGGTGGAACTGCGCGAGGTCATCCCGCCGTCAGGCACGCATCCATCAGAGGAGGGCTACTCGAGGCAGAGTCTGTCCCTGGACCTCGCTGGGTCAGTCCAGACCCTGGCGACGAGAAGCTTCCAGGAGGCCCAACACTTACGAAAAACGCAAGAGAAGGCCGCCGTTTTTATTCGACTAGCCCTCTGGATCTCGGCCGCAACGTTCCACCCCGTCCCTCTGTGCCCGCTGCGTGTTTTCCGGGCTGCCCCTTTACTCCCCCAAGACATGCGATGTTTTTTCAATACGGGGTCCACGAGGTCCAGATTTTGTCCCTAAGGCCTGCTTTGCTTTTCCTCCCGAGTCGTTTTTGGGCGGTCCCGGGGCCCGACGAGGGCCGGTGGATGCCGAGAACTCCCAGCACACCCCCGTGGTGATTTCACTTTCACGACGCGAGCATGTCTGGGTCTCGTCCCGAATGCCTATTGCGCGGTCTCCCGGGCGTCACATGCGGCGCGTGTCTCCAGAGGGTGAAGTCCGTCGCGCCAGCTGTCCACCAGAACGGGCGTACCGTTGGTCGCGCGCCCAAGAGCCGCTGGCCGCGCGCGACGCGATCGAACAAATATAATTGGATGTAGTTACATACAGTTAGGTTATACATGTGCACCATCCATATACATATATGTATATACACGCTTACACACAAGTGGCACATGTGTGCCCAGGCTCATACAACATAACGGCAGCACGCAAGTATTGCAGAATGTTGGTCCACAACTTGTAGTTTCAGGTGAAACGACGCTCCGAAGCCAATTTCTGGACATGTGATGCGTATGAAGACAACGTTGAGTACGTCGGGCTTCAATGTCTGGCGGATGTCTCACGCGAAGCTTCCGCTTGTCACAGAGCGACGACCCAAATCATTGAAAACGATTGTGTGTTGAAGGCTTTATATTAAAAGGTGCAGAATCCACGGTGTTTTGGGACCATAGCGTCCCGCTCTGCGTGAAGGGTGCGTCCAGTTTTCGGGGCCCAAGCCTATGACAGCCCGAAGCTCCCATGACCCTAAGACCCCACTGCCCTACAGCTCAACGGCCCGAGGGCCCCTCCCCCCCCTAAGTCCAGCCTCGCTTTCCCACGGAGATCCTGGAGGGTAAGCCCGCCGCCCCTGCGCCTTCTCAGTAAAATCCAGAAGGAAAAAGACACCATCGGCCATATCTGTGCTGACCACCCACCCCCACTCCCAGCGTGTATTTCCACTAGTGCTGAATGGTATTCTCGCGCGCTCGGGTGCAGGCGCGCTGGATTTGAATCGTTTCGCCGTGGTTGTCGTTGCCGCTGTCTGTCGTCCGTCGTCCGTCGTCGTCGCCGTCGTCATCGTCGTCCGTCGTCGTCTCCGTTGTCTGTCGTCCGTCGTCCAGCGTGCGTCGTCGTCGCCGTCACCTTTTGAAATGTCCGCTTCAGCTTAGGTTGGAGGTGTGGCGAGGCGTCTGCCCATCCGAACGGCCGAGAGAATGATAAGGACCCCGACGGTTCTTGAGCTAAACGGGGAAACGTCACGTTCGCATAGTTGTGTTGATCCCACCACCTGCGCCTTTTCAAGGAGACCCAAACAGGAAAACACAACATTGGCCATACTTGCATTGAACCGACGCCTTTGCGTCTTTCCAGGGCGATCCAACAATAGAAACGCAATATCGGACATATTTCTGTTGATCCCTCCCCCGTGTCTTTCCAACGATCTCAACAGATATCTTAGCGCGCTCGGGGACAGTGCATGCTCATTCTGATCGTTGCGTCATCGTCTGTGGTCCATCGTCTGTCGTCCATCGTCCGTCGTCGGATGTCCGTCGCCCGTCGTCCGTCGTGGTCGTGGTCGTGGTTGTAGTCGTCATCGTCCGCCGTCCGTCGTCTGCCGTCCGTCGTCTGTCTCCCGTCTTCGTCGTCAACTCTTTGAGCTTCCTCTTTCCAGCAGGGGTTCAAGTTGAAACGCTGTGTCTGCTCATGCCGGTGTGCAACACTGGGAAACGCAGGGTCCGCATATGGGGGTTGGACCCCACCCCCCTGCATCCTTTTAGGGGATGGCAAGCATAGCATCGGTTATGTTCATGTTGAGCCCACACCCGCTGGGCGTGCCCAAGAGTATGCAAGAAGAGAAGCACAATGTTGGCTACATGTGTGTGTTGTCCCACCGGGAACTTTCTCATATACGAGACGATAGAGAGAACACACTGAACACGCATGTGAAACGGAACAGCACAGGGCAACATACAGCACAACACTCGGGGAGGAGGGGAGCAACACAACACAAACACCGAAGTACGTAATGAATATGTATGTTAAGTCAAGACATGAGTTAAACAGCGTGGATCCCGAAGAGCATGTGGTTGCCATCCACGCGGTGCTATGTGTTACAAACGATGTGGTGCAACCTAGGTGGTGCAGCCCAGTTGGTGCAATCTACGTGATGCAAAGCAGCGCAAAGACATGAACACAACGCAAAACAATGCAAACCAATCAACGCACTGCAGAGCAACGCAAACCAATACAACGCAATGCAAGCATATCCAGAGAACTGGAAAAGCAATGACACGCAATGCAAATCACTGCACAACAATGCGAAACAATGCGCAACATTGCAAAACAATGCAAAGCGACGCAACAGAATGCAAAGCAACGAAAAGCAACGTAGAGCCATACAAAACAACGCACAGCAATGCCAAGCAAAGCAATGCGAATGCCAAGTAATGAAAAGCAGCGCTATGCTGTGTAACGCACTGCAAGGCAGCGCAAAGCAAGGCAAGTCAAGCGCAAATAAATACAACGCAACGCAAAGCAAAGCAAAGCGAAGCGAAGCAGCGCAATGCAGCGCGACGCAATGCGATGCGATGCAAAGCAATGCAAAGCAATGCGACTGCAATACAATGAAATGCAATGGGCGGGGGGGTGCGACGGGGCGGTTGCCACGGACGGGAACGTGGCCGCTGGGCCCACAACCGGGCCTCAAATTGGAAAAGACGGGGCGGGAGCGGACGGGACTGGGGCCGCTGGGCCCGCAGACGGGGCCAATGCCTTAGGAGGGAAACGATAATCCTCAGGTGCAATCTCCGTCTGGGGGGGGAGAACCGTGAAAGGGAAAGCACAAACGACAGCAAAGCAAACAAGATGCAACAGCAATCACAGCACTGAGCACACTAGTTTAGTCAGCTGACCTAACCAGCTGAACAAGTTAACCAGTTAGATCGGTGACGTAGCTAACCATGCTAAGCTGGATATCGTGACGACGCTAAGTTGCTTCATGCGTGCGCTTTCAAAAAAAACTGTGCAAGGACATCTACACAGAACACTTACGTAAAAGTATAGCACGCGCTGCGCCCACATGATACGGCTTGTTAATACGAAACGTATGTCCACAGACTGTGTGTTGCTGTCTTTTCTGAGAACGCACCGACCACCGCAGCGACGGGAGTTGTTTGTTGTTGTTGTTGTTGCTGCGATTTTCGGCCTCTGGGGGCCCTCGCCAGGTCCTGGGACCGTCAAAAATGACTCGTGATGAGAAAGCAGTTGTCGGGAAAGAGTCCAATCTTCCGGGGACCGCGTATGGAACGAATCGGAACATCGCATGTCTGGGTCGGCCTCCAGCGCGCTCCCAAAGGGACTTGAACCCACAGGGTCGCCTGGTGGGTCGGGTCCTGTCTGTCCGGTGGGCACTGGCCCAGGAAGAGCATGCACCGTGCCCCCGCCCCCTGCCCGCCGTGGCTCGGCAGCGGATCTGCCGGGCGCGCACGACCCGGACCTTGGGGTCGGGCGGCTTCTCCACATCTCCCTGGGGCGGATCGCGGAGGCATCGAGGATCGAGGCTCCTATGTTTGCATCGCGACAGCACGGGGCGGGCCCGGTGTCCTGAGGCCGCCCCTCGAAGCATGCGGCCAAGGAGGTGTGGAGCAGGAGGGGGGATAAGAGAGGAAGCACAGACGTATTCGTGTCGCGTGCGGAAGGAAACTGGGAGTTCGACGATCGATGCTTTTGGATGAGTGCGGCTCTTTCGCTCTTTTGACATCTCCGTGAGGGCCCCTGGGAGCCCCGGGGGCTCCGCATGGCTGGCCCCCAGCTCCTCATAGGGAGGATATGGGGGGAGGAACTGGAGGTGAATGGCTGATCTATCATCTATCCCCTCCCCCCAGCTCGTTGCAGTCGGCGTCGTTGTTCCCCTTTTCCTCGGCCGCTAACCTCGTCATTATTGTGCTTCGCTTCGTGCATCCAATTTCTGACAGTTGAGGAGTACGTGGCAGATGCGTCTGCGTTCTTCGTTCTCATCATCCCTTCCTGTCTTCTCTCCCCCTCCCTCCCTCCGGCCAGTCTTCCATCTCCGACGAAGACGCAGCAGGAGAGAGAAGAGTCGGCAGGGTGGGAGTTGTGCAAAATGGAACAGCAAAGGCGGGCGACCGCGAATAAACTGAAGACGCACGCTGAAGACAGAGTGGGCGCGGAGACCCAAGGACGGCGCCACAGCATGGGAGGGTCGAGGACCCAGATACTGCGATGTCTTGATGTTTTGAATGCGCGGCCCCTGGAGGTCCCAGCCGACCCTATCCCGGGGCTGGCTTCCCATCCCGCATAGTTGTTGGACGCTCCCGGGACCCGGACCCGGCCAGGGCCCCCAGAAGACGAAGAATTGCCAAACCCCCCTCCGCCGTGTTTATTCTTACGACGCGAGCGTGCCTCGAAACGTTTTACGACGCGATGCGAGCGGGGGCAGGGGCAGGCCAGGGTCCGACACGCTTGCCTGCACGTGCGCGGCCGCCCGGGCGCGGCTGCCCCGCAGAGTTCGCAGGCGTATACCGACTGCCCACCTCGCTTCTCGTCGTCGTGCACCCCTGCTGGCAGGGTCCTCGACCATCCCGTCCTGTCTCGCCGTCCTTGGGTCTCCGCGCCCAGTCCCCGGTCCCTCTCAGCACGCTCGACCACGGGCAGACCGCAAGCCACTGGGAAGCCATCAGATCCAAGGTAGAGCACGGAACGGGGTCTCAGGAATCAGCTTCTGGGAGGTCTGCGGAAGATCGATTCGGAGCTATTGAGCCTGATCAAGGGCCACACAGCCAGATGAGGCCGTATGGAGCCTGGGGTTGAATCAGATTGAGCTGGATTGCGCGGGATTCGACGGACTTCCACGGGATGATGCCAGACCATGGGCCGGGTTGTCGACCCCTGACATACCAGCGCTGATTCCGACTTTTACCTCCAAGGAGTTGCACCCTAAAGAGCTGGAGTTGGCAAACAACAAGCGGCTTACACCTGGCGGTGCGCAGGAGGGTTCTGGCGCGAGGGAGGCGGCCTTCTGAGACAGCGGCGCATCTCAGAAGGAACAAAGCTTTCCTGGCCACGGCAAGCATCGGCCGCGATTAGGTTCCCTGACCTCGACCTGAGCCTGAAAATCAGAACCCCAACTGAACCCAAACTGGTCCTTATTTGAGCGCTTTGACTGTATGCCTTTCAAAGAGGGGCTTCTTAAGCATGCCTCTCAGAAGCCTTAAGCCTTCAGCCTCAGGGACCTTCTGAGAAGGCTCAGGCTGCCTCCCGCCTTCTTGGAACGCCACCCCCTCGCGCCTCTCCCTTGTCGGCACCGCGAATTCACGATGAGCACTGACGGTGTCGACCCGAAATGTGTGAGCCAGAATGGGTGCGGAAGGCCGTTCGGGCGACGATGAAGATGGTGAGGATCTCGGCCATCGCGTCCAGACTTCTTGAATTGCGAGGACGGAAAGGGCAAGACTACGGGCCACGGAACACGACGACGACGACCGGTGAGACTAAAATTAGGGGCAGGCAAGGGGCAAGGCAGGATCAAACCGCGGAGGGGGCGGAATGGGTAAGGGGAGAGAAGCGAGAGCAGACACGCGGAGTCGAAGCGAGGCAAGGGGCAGCAGCAGGAGCGCAGGGGGCAGAGAGGCGGGGGCGGGACGAACAGACCAGCGCGCAGGGGCGGGGGACCCCTCCGGCCCTGGACCCTTCGGCTGCCCCAATGCCCGCCGCCACCGCCCCCTTGGGGGGGGGGGGGGGCAGGGACACGGGCAGGGGCACGCCGCGGACAACCACTCGCCGCAGCACGTGCCGAGGCCCCCCCCCCCCCCGCCCACGCCTGCTGGGCCTCCCTCCCCGCTCCCCACAGACCCTGCATCTCCCAAGAGCTGTGGACGCCTCGCCTGCGGCCACCGTGCCTCCTCCGGCCACGGCGGGCCCAGGCCACAGACAGGTCCCCACGACGGGAGCCTCGGGGACGGCCCACAAACGACGAGCCCCTCCCCGAGCCCCGGGCGGCCCTTCTCTCCGCGCCTCGCCTGTGGACTCCCGCCGCCCTCCGCCGACCTTCCGCCGGCGGGCCCGCCGCCGCCGGCACTCCCGCCGACCCCCGCCGGCCTCACGCCAGATTCCGCCGAGGGCGAGATGGCGCCGAATGCGAGGCCCCTCCGAGAACACGCCACGCGGTATGACTGGAGACCTTCCAAGTGGGGCCCGAAAACGCAAATGAGCTCGGAAGATCGCGCCGCATCGACGATACATCGCCCATGCATCGGAGACGTCGGCGGTACATCGGCGCTGTCGGCATGAAGGAAATCGGGCTCTACATCGAGCCGCATCGCCGATCGCCGCTGCATCGGCGATGCGGCGCAATCCTCCGAACCCATCGTCTCGGACCCTTGTTATTCGCGATAACGCTAGTTGCTGGCCTGCCCCTGGTCCTCCCCCCCTCTTGGTAACGTCACCGGCACCCTCCATCCCCCCCCCGGCCCCGGCAACCCCCGTTATCGCCGACGGGCACGAAGCCATACGCCGTCCGGCGCGTAGGCGGGTAAAGTCTGAAATCAAGCGTTCACAGCCAATGCATCTGCTAAACATGGCAATAGGAGGAGGAGGAGGAGGAGGAGGAGGAGGAGGAGAAGGAGGAGGAGGAGGAGGAGGAGAGAATGAACATGGGGACAACAAGTTGTCAAAAGGACATCAAACGGCCTCCAACTTGGGAGGCCTGGAGTGGCTCTCGCCCCCGGCGCGCCACGGGCCGAAACCAGCCGCACGCAGCAGATTTCGTCCCCCAACCCCCGTCCCCATCTCAGCCTTTCGTCCGACCCCATCGGTGACCAGCCCCTTCCGTGACGAGTCGCTCACCCACGAGGCTCCACCTGGTCGCACTCCCCACCTCGCCATCGCTCGGACGTCCATTCCCTGTTTTTTTCTCGGTTTCGTGCGTGGCTGTTTCGCCAAATGATCAAGGATGCTCCTCGATGGCCCTCGCCGCAGGAAAAATGCACACGTCCGAGCGATGCCAAGCCACGGCCTTAAACTGGGCGAGAGTGTCGTCACGCCAAGGGTCGGTCAGGTGCGCCCCGGGTAGCGGCGGGCCGCGGCTGGCGGGCGGGCCTCCATATGGGGGCGGCGAGGGTCCCCCCCGCGGGTGCCGCGGACTCGGGGCCGAGCCAAAGGCTGCGCGCGCCGTCCAAAAGAAGCCCCAGGGGCTCACAACAAAGAAGACACACATCCCAAGAATCCCAACTGTTTTGAAAATGCTTTTGATTTGCGCCTTCCCATTAATATCCCATGTTTTCCTGTATCAGCTACATATAGAAGAAAGAGGCACGGATTTGTGTCTGGTCTATATTTACCTCCTAACATCTGGCATCCACCGTCAGAACCACCAGTCGGATTGCCTGGACCACCAGCGTCTTGAAACAACTACTAGCCCTGAGATCCAGGCGTCAACTTTTGCACACCAGGCGTTTTCTCCCAGTTTTGGGACCCGGGACCATCAAATATCTACCTGGCTCGAAATAATCTGCAGAGCGACGGGGTCTATAGGCTCTGGACGTGATTTTTCGCTAGGCTGCATTCTCTCTGAAATGTCAGATCTCAACAAATGCGGATGTTCTTCACTGTTTTCGGACTCTGGGGGTTCTCGCCAGGCTCTGGGATCGTGAGAAAACGACTCGGGATGGAAAGGCCGCCATGGGGACAAGATCGGGACTTCCGGGAACCTCGTCTTGAACAAAGCAAGGCAAAGGATGTACCGGTGATTGCGAGGACACAAGTCTCTTCCGAGAGTAATCTGCGCTCTCAATATTCTGAGGGCATGCAACGCGATAGACAGGACAAAGGAGGTATCCCTCGTTTCGCCAGGTCGACCTACAAATCACACTCGATTATGCCCCTCGATGTTTCGTCTGTCCTCCTCCTCGCGCACGCTCGTGGGCTGGTCCACCCACTCTGCGCACATCGTCCCAATGCCCGTGGATTAGCAAATCCCAAGTACGTCGCTGGTCCGAATATTGCTGCAACTCGGGGGTACCTGGACTGTTGATCTAGTGAAGAGCCGCACAGAAGACGGCATGATCCCCACAGCGATAAGAACAGCACCTGCAAAGTGCATGGATTACGCAAAGAGCTCCGCATGCTCCACCTCATCGAGGGCGCACGGGCTTCCTTGGATAAACAATCTGTGCCAATGGGAAGCAGATCCGTGCCGTGATCAATCTGAGACTGGAATCAGCATGATTCCCAAAGCCAACGCACCCAAAAACAGTGCACGTACACTATTCACACGGGTAGCGGCCTGCATGGTTGTTGTGCGCGAACGTTCAAAGAGAAGCCCAGAAATCCATCGCGAGAAAACAGGATGAGGAAGCGCTACGCCTTCTCATCAGTGAACCCGTTGTCATGCAGCCATGAAGAACAGAGAGAGATGGGAAGAATAGGAGGGAGGGAGAAGGAAAGAGGACATTCAATTACCAATGGGCTCGTTTCCGTAGGCTTCACACCGTCACGCCAGAGAGGGGGGATTCAATGTATCAACGCCCCTTCATCAGTCCACAGCAATGTTATAGTATTATCCTTCGCCGCCGACGCATCCCCGTATCCTCTTACTCACCTTACTCACTTCCCCGCGAGCATCATCGCAATAAGCGTAAGCGCCAGAACAAACACGTGCACAAAACCCTCCCCAGGCCCCAGGATCGTTAAGCAGTGACTCTGGATGAGAAGCCAGCCGTGGGGAAGGGGTCGGGACTTCTGGCGACCCCGTATTGATCAAATCAACAAATCGGATCTCTGAGGAATACTCGCCCCTACCAGCGAAGCCCTGCAGCAAACTCGCCGAAGGAAGGAATCAAGCAGGGCGGGACTGCTTCATAAACGCCCAGTGCTGCTTCGTAAACGCCAACCTGTGGGGGTCGGGGTGTCTTTTCCTTCCCTGAGGCACGGGCTTCGACACTCTGGGGGGCGATCGATCCGAGCGCTTTTCCTCTCTGTCGGCTTCCTGCGGCCGTGTTTAGTACCCAAGACTATCGAAAAAGGTTCCCGGGACAAATGTCTGCACCCTGGGAATGACGGTCGGGAGGCCTGCGTCCGCAGATTGAAAAACCCCCCAAAAAGCATCGTCGGATTTATGGGCGTGCTCAAAGGCCACGACGTGATGTTGTCGCAACGCCGCACGTTTGGGCTCAAGGGTCGGAAATCGACCACGGGCCTGTCCTGGGTCTGTCCTGGGGTGCGCTCTCGCCAACAATTCGTGGCGGATCGAGCCGTGGCGACGAGAAGCCACCCCGAAAGCCCAGGGAGAAAGACACACTCTTGATCCTCGATCCCACTCATCATTCGACATCTTGACTTCTTCCACGGGCCCCCGAAGTCCCGACCCTTCCGCCTTGGCCGGCTTGTCGGCCTGAGTTGCTTGCTGACGGTCCCGGAACCTCCGGGAGGTTTTTCCCATGCGCTGGAACGCCAGCTTTCGGGACTCGGGCACCCCCGGAACGCTGCCGCGGCGAGGCGCAGCTGCTGGAAAGCACACCGAGGCTGGAAAGCCCGCGGGGACCACGAAAACGCCAGAAAATCTTGAGTTTCTAACCTTGGATGGGCGGGGGCGGAGGAACAGCCTTAACGAGTGTGCGAGGGTGATCAATTCTACATAGGGTTTTGTCAAAGCTCTCAGAGGTGATCCGCCGTCGCGTGCGGAAGCTTGAATGAAAGCACACGCCTTCAAACCTCTTGGAGGCCAACAGCCACGGCACGATAGTAATGGCAGGCCGCCACAGGGTCCACACAACCATCCATGGAGGAAGAAACGGACTGCATAATGCATAACCTAAGCACGGATTTTCGGAGCTCCGCGCGGAGCTCCGAACACTTCTGTGCATCGAGCTCTTCCGACCCAAGCAGTACTGGGCCATTTCGCTGGGCTCCGATCTCGAGAACATCCTCCGATCTTCGGCCTCCGATCTCTTCTCTTCCGCGCCGCGGCTCGTGTCGATCGGCGCGCTGCTGCCGCCGCCCGCGCCGGGCTGCTTCTGGTCGGCGGGGCCTTGCGGGCGGTGCTGCAGTCACCGTGCCACTGCGACTCTTCTGTTGTGGGGGACACTCATAGGGCCTCCTGGATGGGGTCCACGCAGGCGTGGTCGGAGGATCGCGCCGCCTCGCCGATGTATCGCCGACGCATCGGCGATGCATTGGCGACGTTGGCGATGCATCGGCGACGCCGGCTGGAGAACATCGGGCTCCACATTGAGCCGCATCGCCGATGCATCGGCGATGCGGCGCGATCATCGACTCCATCTACTCGAACACCACTTGAAACGCCTAACAGAGCGCAGCAGTGGATCACCGCACAACTCGCATCAACCACTGTGCGAATCGAGAACTCGCCAGGCGAACTGGGCCACCCAGGCCAGCCTGAGCAAAGCAGGCCCACACAGTGAACCATGGCCTGGGAGAGAAAACGAGAGAGAGAGAGATAAATAACGAAATCGTGAGAGATCCAGAAAGAGACAGAGAGAGAGGGAGAGTGAAAGAGAGAGAGAGAGAGAGAGAACGAGTGAATGAATGAGAGAGAGGGAAGAAAGAGAAGCAGAGCGCACAACGAACCAGGACACTCAACGCTGAAGAGGGAACCGCCCAGCCATGCAACGTCATGAAGACACATCAAGATAGGTGATTCGGTGAGTTTGCGGAGCAATCGGGGGCGGCGGGGCAGGGAGCTCGCAGTTCGACTGGCCGCGGGCTTCGCCCAAACAGTATAAAAGGAAAACTGACAGGGAAGGGAGGAAAACACAGAAAAGGACCCCAGGCATCCAGCTGCTCAGCCTCTTCGATGCACCGACCTGATGGACCCCTTCTTTCACGCAGGATCGCTTTCTGACGGTCCTGGGCTTGAGCCCCGCCATTGGCAGCTCAGAAATTGAGAAAAGAACGCATCTTCTCTATAGTTTCGAGCCTGTGGTTGTCCGGAGAGGAGTTTTGGAATTGCGCTCTGATTCGCCGAGGAGGCGGTCAGCTTAGTGCGGCACCCACTAGCTACTGGCAGAAGCACGCGGTATCTAGCAGCAGGGGCGCCTAGGTGTAGATGCTCCGCCCGCCCATACACATCCACCACCCCAGCCTCGTCGTCATAAAACGCACATGGCGCAACGCAGCGCTACAGGAGAAGGGAGGAGGCAAGAGGAGGCATAACTACCAGGAGGGGAGCAGGTGAGATAGCCTACGAGGGGCTGCAACAAAAAAGCGAGCGAAGTGGGCGGGTGCGAAGCAGGGGCCCGCGGGGGTGCACGGTTTTCGCACGTCGGACTTCCCCCTGCCTGCATCAACGCCGCATTGCGAACCGCATCCCCCCCACAAGCCTAAATCCACCCGCGGTCCCGACCATAGTAAGCTGAAAACGCTAAGCAGGGAAGCGGGGGAGGTGAGACGGCCTGGCGGTCCCGATGCGCGGGCGCGGGGCGGCGCGCATGTCTGTGCCCGCCCAGAGAGAGGTTCGCCGTACCTGGCACGGCGCCCGAAGCCTCTCGAACTGGGGCGGCAGCTAGAGACCGAACGGAGAGAGAAGCACCAGGAGGCAAGGGGAGGCAGATCAGAGTGGGGAGCGGGCGAGATGACCTGCGAACGGCCGAAACGGCAGCCGAGCGGGCGGGTGCAAGGCAGGGGCCAGAGGGAGCGCACGATTTCGCACGCTCGACCTGTGGCCCATGTCTGATCCAACGCCGCGGTGCGAACCTCGTCCCCGCCGACAAACCTAAACCCTCCCTCGGACCCGACCATCGTAAGCCGAAAGGCTAGGAAGGGAAGTGGGAAAGGCGAAACGGCCTGGCGTGCCCGATACGCGGGCGCGGGCCCGCGTGCGTGGCTGCCCGCCCCGAAAGGTTCGCCGCACCTATCGGAACCAAGAAGCTGGGGCGGCAGCTGGAGATCAATCGGAGAGAGAAGCACCAAGAACGCAATCGAGGCCAACGAAGGCAGCAACAGCATGGCCCTGAGTCATCATGCCGTAGAGCCCCCCGCACTGCTTGCCACCAGAGAGCGTGCAGTCATATAGAGAGGTGGGTGAGAGAGGCCGTGCAGAAGGCGACAGCCACTTGCTCTTCTGCACCCCCACTTATCCGCTCAAAGCACGATAAAAGACCGGCAGCAACCTATCCGAACACGCCTCTGCCAAAAGTAGGATC